CATTCTTTCCCTAATCATTGCCCCCCACTTTCCTCTCTCAAACAACAAGCCCGTTTGTGAACTTGGCTTCCAAACCATCTCTGCAGGTGACTCCAGAGTCTACCTGTCAAGTCTTAACATCTCTCCTGGTTTCCGGATCCCCATGCTTAGCTAGCTGCTGGATCCATCGACAAGAATGGCCCGCTGGCATCTCAAAGGCAACCAACATGTCCCAGACTGGAGAACACAAGAAAGAACCCAGTATTTAGACTTGGAATCCAAAGACCCAGATTTGAACCCCGGCTCTGTTTTCCTTAGTTGAGTGTCCTTGGGCAAACCCCTTAGTCTCTCTGAGCCTCAGTTCCCTTACCTCCCCACCCTCCACCAAAGGACACACTAGTACTTATTCCTTGCAATTAAAGCAGAATCATAGGCATGCGATCTTGATTAACCTATATTATGCTTTAAAAGTTCGCTCCTTTTGTTGTGTTCCAACAACCTCTTCTCTTCCCTCTCCCTCCCCAGGAGCACAGAACTCCTGGTTGAACTGCCACGTGAAGGCTGGATCTCTGAGGACCTCCCATCCTTTCTGTCCTCCCTGCCATCAGCATCTTTCAGGCCCCTGGGCCCTGAGTCAGGTCTTAGTCTTGGGCTCTAGACTATCCAGCTACGTTCCACCCAGAGTTGTTTTCCTCGAATCAGACCACTGCCCTTCTCATATACTCACTCTCGCCTGCCTGCAGAATACAGCCCAACCTCCACGCCACCTCCCAGCACCACTGCCGCAACTCCCAGCTTCTCAGCCAGGCTCGTGCATCCTCTCTTCATGAAGCCTTTCTACCCCCCACTCTCCAAATAGCAAAGCTTTCTCATCTTTCTAGGCCATACTCAAATGCTACCTTTTCCAGCAAGCCTATCCTAACACCCTGTCAGTAGTAACTGCTTCTTTCTTTGCACTTCTAAGACTCACTGTTCTTCTTTTTGTACCAAATGCTTTTGGTCTTATATGATATTTAGCCGTTCATATGTCTGCATCTCACCAAACCCTGAGCTCTCCAAGGGCGAGGGCAATGACATTATTTTTCTCTTCTGCACACAGTAGGTGCTCGACAAGCATTTGCTACACTGCATTGACTGCCACCAGATTTCAGTCCTAATAACCATCATTATCCTGGGTTTGGAGACTGAGGCTCATCCCATTAGAATGAGATGATATCCTTTCATTTAAGTGAAAAGGATGAAATTGCTTCTTTCTCCCAGAGCGCCAGTCCTGCACTTAGAATTGCCCACCATGAGTTCTATTTAGATGTCTTACATTTTATTTATTCACTCGCTCAGTGTTTTTTAGGTGCGTGTTCTGAATCTGCCGCTATCATGGATATGAAAGACAAATAAGACACTGCAAAAAAAAAAAAATCTTTTTAAAAGAACTTGTTCTCAAGAGCTTGATGTTCTGGGAGGGAAACAAATAAAAAAACCAGTTATAGTATGTTCTATAATACTATTTAAGTCTAGTAAGGACACGGGAGCAGGTGTCATGGGAAAATGAAAAGGAATGCTCTTCTCCCTCTCCTGTCCCCCAGACACCCGGGCAGGTGGCTGGGAGAGTATCTGGGATCCAGATGACAAAGGGTCTCAGCTTACAGGCCAGTCTCCTGGCCAACTGTTTAAACTTTCACTCCCCATTTCTTTTGCAAGAAGGGATGAGACCATTTGTATATATTGCAGGAATTACTGTCAAGAAGAAAATGATGTAGAACATATTAGAAAACTTTACATAAACTGCCACCACAAATACAAGTTATGTATTTGTATCCGGCAACCCCTCCTGGCAGCTCTCCGGGTCCCTCGGATGGTCTTGTTATCTTCCAGTTCAGCCCAGATCAGGATCGTGAAAATCATCTCATGCCTTCCTCCTCACCTGTCACACCAGTGTCCCCGAATCCTGTGTCTGGCTGCCCTGGGACGTTCCCGCACCCTGGTCTTCCCTTCCCTTTCCGTCTTACTACGGCCACGTGCTGTCCTCGTGGTGCCTCACACCTGGACTGCTGTGACAGAGCCCGTCACCCCCGTACCTCTCAGTCCCATTCCTCCTCAAAGTCAGATGTCTCTTCCTCAAAGATTGCTTTCTCTATGTCAGCCCCAGTACAAAGAAACTCAAGCTTCCCCTGATATCTGCCAACCCCAGCCCAAACTGTAGAGCTTCATATTTAAGGCTTCTGGTGATTTGGTTCTATCCTCTTTACCCAGACCTGTAGCATTAATAGGACTGGGTTTCTTGCTGTCTCCTGAGCAAATGCACACGACTCATTCTCTCATTCGCTGTGGCTTCCGGTCCCAGGGACCCAGGCTAATGGTGGGGAAGCAGTGGACATTCGAGTTAAGTGCAATGACAGTTTGATGGGATGGATGCCACTTCCCCGCTGGGAACAGCCTCCCCTCTTCTAGCCATCCTTCAAGACCCGGCTCACAGCACACCTCCCCCGGGGAAGGGGGAGGTCTTCCCTGATTTTACCTCCTGAACACCTATAGTACTCACTCTTTGTACGACGGCAGATCAGCGCTTCTCAAAGTTGAGCGATAACCCCCCCGACCCCGGCCAAATTCTAACTCAGTAGGTCTGGGATGGGGCCAGAGAGGTTTGTAATAGATTCAGTAGCGGGGGTCTGGGAGCCCGCCTTTGGGTGCTGCTCTGGATAACCTTGTCCCGGCACTTACACTTCCATGCTCTACGCTCCTTATGGGCAGAAAACTTATCTCCTGTTTCTTGGTGGGTCAGTTCTCAACCCCTGAACCTAAACACCTGGCGTATAGAAAGTGCTCTGCCCACCAGGTCCTCATCTGGTGCTCACAACGGCTCCACCAGCTGAGAAGAAAGGGCCCCCTTCTCAAGATTGCTGGGGAGAGAGTCAAAGTCACCACAGGGTACAGACAGGCTGGCGCTGGCTTGGGTTCCCAGCCAAGGGGTGAACCAGAGTCATTCCAACTGTGGGCTCCCTGGCAATGGTTCCTTGGGCCAGTTTTGAACCATCGGCCCACTTTCCCTTTCTAGGAAGGGAGGGGAAGGAACTGACATTTGTTGGGCAATTACTCTTGGCCAATTTCTGGCCCAGGCCGGGGGATATACATATAATCTCAGGGGTCCAGTGAAGTCTAGTACCTGTCCCCTGAGTTCCATATGTGTGACACGTGGTGGTCCAGATCATCCAAGCTCTTAGGCTTCATTGCATAGCCCAGAAGAGACACACATGGCTGGAGAAGTTAGGGGAAAGTGACTTCCTATGTACTAGAGGTCAGCTGTGTGTCTGGGTGCATTGTTCAAGGTGATTTCCCCTACACAGTCCCATTTAATCCCTCACGAGAACCTTGCAAAGGAGATCCCATTTCACCCACTTTGGAGACAGGGCCCTAAGCTCAGAGAGGTTGCAGAATTTGCCCCAGGCCACACGACTGAGAAAAGGAAAAGCTGTGGGTTGGTGCTGGAATTCCTGGTCTGTCAGGTGGCTCCACAGCCCCTTTGTGTGTCCATGCCCCAGGGTATAAGTCCTTGCATCACTTATCGGTAGCAGACACTGGCGGGCAGAGGTGTTGCAGGTCTCCAAGTCCCCCTGTTATCTGATCATACCTAGCCTCCTGTTGGTCCCCGCTGCTAGGGGCCTATGGTCACCCTGATTTGAGCCTTTCTGGAGAAGTTAAGGTACACAGGAAAGAGAAGGGGAAGTAGGGGAGACCAGAGCCTTGCATGAGCTGGGAGGTGGGAGGCAGGCCTGGGCGGTGGGGACTGGGAAGACTTGCTTCTGTCAGGTAATTGGGGAATGGAGGTTTGTGTTTCTCCCAGATCCAGGGTAAGAGCTGTCTGAGAAGTTCACAGAAGTGTGGCTCTTCCCTCTCTGCTCGTAAACACACTCCCACCTTCACAGACCCTCCCAAGGGCAGGCCTCCCAGACACAGATCCCACAGATCCGGGGAGAGGGGGTTGGCTCAGCAAAGTGCAGGCTCAGATTCAAGGTGACACACACCAGCACATACAGAACCGTCCCGCTATCCGCGCCCAGGCCCACCACCCACGGAGAAGGCAGATGTGCCCCGGGGGCAGCCCCAGCACCCCACCCACGCAGGCACAGAGGGTGCAACCTCCACCTGCCACCTTGCAGGTACTGCGGAGGACTGGAAGGATGGGGACAGCTGGCGGTGTTTTCTCCAACCACTCCACCACGCTCCCCCCTCCACACCGCCCCCCCGCGCCTATCGCCTCATAAAGGGAGTCGCTTTCTTAGAAGGGGGCTCTGGCTCCTGGGCTGTGGTTAGTCCTTTCCTCAGGCTCAATTCAGTCCCCTCCGGCCTGTGCTCCGCAGCACGGGGGAGCGGGAGGGGCTGGAGTGCAGAAGGCACTGGGGGAGGGGGAGGAGTTGGGAGGGGCTGGGGAAGCAGGAGTCTGTCCAGGGCTTCTGGGCTGGAGTGGGGGTCAGGAGGAGCCGGGAAACCTCACTTTGCTGTCCCCGTGCCAGCCCAGACAGTGGGAGCATGGGGCTGCTCCAACTCGTGCCAGGATTCCTGGGTCCTCAGGGTGCTGCAAATGTTGGTCAGAAGCCCAGGTTCCCGGAACACCGGAGGAGGTAAGAGGGTTGGGTGGACCAAGATCCCCAGTGCCAGGGTTGGGAGACTCAGGCTTGGCAGGGCTGACACCTGTTCACAGTGCCCCTATTGCTTGAACCCTCCCCCCAGGCCAGGCTCTCCCACGGAGTGTTTCTCTGGCCCCAAATCCTTACTGAGGAGTAGGTGTGTGAGGCTGGGGCAAGGGGAGGGCAGTCAGATGAGTGAGGCAGGGAAGCCTGTGAGGGGAAGAGAGGTGGGAAAGGGGAACTTTGGGGGTGACTGCTACCAATCGGATCCCAGAGGAAACATCTGGGAGATGGTCCCTCCAGTCCACACCTCCCGCCCATTTTAGCAGGGGGGCCAGCATGCTGCACCCCTCCCACCCCCATGCAGAAAGGAGGGTAGGGCTGGCCTGGGGAGCTTACCGTCTGCGGGGGGCTGCCCACGGTCATCTCCACGTAGTAGCCCTGACCGGACTTGCCCCTCAGGTTGTCCACCATCTCCACAAAGCTGCCCCTCCGGCTGGGCTCCTCCGGCTCCTCCGCGGTCTCCCGGGGCAGCCGAAGCCCCAGGGGGGGCGCCCCCAGCCCGCTTCGCAGGGGCAGCCGGATGCCGGGCTGGGAGCAGCGGGCGGGCAGCACTCCCCAGCCCATCCACAGCAGGAGCCAGGGCAGAGCTTGGGCCATGGTGGGCCTGGCCTCTGGGGCCCTCTGGGTTCACTCCGGGACCACGGCCGGCCCTGCTGCCGCCCTCAACTCCGGGAGCCGGTGGTGGCTGCTCAGGACAGTGGGCTGCGAGGCATCAGGGCTCCGGAGCCTGCAGGCCCCTCGCCGGCCCCCGGGTGCAGGCTGTGGGGATCAGATAGGAGAAATCCGCAGAGAGAGAGGGGAGGAGACGGATCCGAAGCCGGCTACATCTGGCCAGTGGCGCCCAGCCTCAGCAGAGGTCTGGGAGAGGACGGCTCGGCCCCCCCGGGCGGCTGGGAGGGGCGGGCATGGCAGGTCGGCGGCCGCGGGCTTCTCGGTCCTCTGGCTGGCCGGGCGGCGGGGCAAGGCGCAGGGGCTCCAGGCGCCCGCAGCTGCGTGTGCTGGTCAGGCCACCGTAATCCAGCTCCCAGCTCCTAGGCAGGCTGGGGAGGCGGAAAGACTTGTAGCGGCGGCTGTCAAAGCCAAAGGGTTTTCGCTCTTCCCTGGGATCGCTGGGAAGTGTAGTCTTCCCATGGCCGGCAGCCCAGCTTCCGGGGTTGGCGAGGGGTCTGGGATGCCCTCTGCCGAGGCGGAGTCCATCCTGCAGGACCCTGGCCGGGCGGGAGGGACCGTAGGAGAGAGTGGCGGCAGACCTCCCACTCGGTTAGTTCCTTCATTCTGCAAGTATTGAGCACCCACTGGATGCCTGGCATTCTTCCAGGCATTGGGGCTACTTGGAGAGAGAAAACCCATGTGCCCCATACCAGACAATGTGGCATGGATGAGTAAGGATTTGGAGAGACATCTGGGGATCTGGACCGACTGGGTGGGAGGAGGAGCATTTCATTTGAGCTGTAAAGAATGGGTGGGATTTCCACCAGCAGAGATTGGGGGAGCAAGAGTAAGAGGGATAGAAGGGTATTCTGTTCGAGGCAGCCAAGTGCATAAGCAAGGTGCAAAGGGGAAAGCGCAGGGACAGTTTGTCTCCACAGGAATCTGCAGTCTGTGGGTCTTTTGTCACCTGAATCTCTGTGTGCCTTTGCTACTCTACCTGCCCTCACCTCCACCTTGAATGCTGTGAGTCCCCAAGAGCCCCCTCATTTCTGGGCTGCCCTTCAGACTCAGGGTAAGTGGCTGCTGTCAGCTTCAAAGTCTTGCCACTCAGAGAAGTATCTGTACTTTATTTTTATTTTTTTAAAAGATTTTATTTATTTATTTGACAGACAGAGATCACAAGCAGGCAGAGAGAGAGGAAGGGAAGCAGGCTGCCCGATGAGCAGAGAGCCCGATGCGGGGGCTTGAGCCCAGGAACTGTAGGCAGAGGCTTTAACCCCCTGAGCCACCAAGATGCCCCTAGTATCTGTACTTCAACTGGTAAGATCTTAAAACAAAAAGCTTGAGAGCTCTAACAGCTTAAAGAAGAAAAGCCGTATGATTATCTCAACATATTATTTAACCAATGTGGAAAGCTGTTGTTAGAATTCAGCAGTTCTGATAAAAACTAAGAGGGAACTTTTTTTTTTAAAGATTTTATTTATTTGACAGAGAGAGATCACAAGTGGGCAGAGAGGCAAGCAGAGAGAGAGAGAGGAGGAAGCAGGCTCCCCGCAGAGCAGAGAGCCCGATGCGGGACTCGATCCCAGGACCCTGAGATCATGACCTGAGCCGAAGGCAGAGGCTTAACCACTGAGCCACCCAGGTGCCCCTAAGAGGGAACTTCTTAAAAAACCTAACAGAAAATCACAGAAAACACAGTAGTGGACAGGCTGAACTTACTCCCATTAGAATTTGGCTTAGCCAAGGGAAGGTCATTATCACTACTCTTCTCCTACGTAGCTCATACATTTTTAATTTAATTTATTTATTTATTAGTAGGCTCCACACCCAGCATGGGGCTTGAACTGATGACCCTGAGATCAAGAGTGCCATACTTGGCTGCAGGAGCCAGCGAGGCGCCCCTCCCACGGAGTGTAGATCAGCGTAGCTAGCTGAGTAGGATGAGAGCACGTACTTGTGCTATAAATACTAGAGTGCAAACAGTGGAGTGGTGGTTGCCAGATGTGCCTGACCGTCTGCTCTGAACCGTAGCCGAGGAGAGCGATGGAGCCGCCGGAGACCGCTTGCACCCCAGACGGACCACAGAACAGCATGTGCCAGAGGTGGACGTCCAACATAGAAGGACAGCCCTGCTGAGCCACCAAGAGTAGCAGCCGTACCCAAGGCGATGTCAGCACCAGCAGGTACCTGGGGCGGATTTCCAGGAGGAACTGAGTTAGGCATCCTTAGCTGAGGCACCAAGAGGTGGTGAAAGCAGGATCCGAATATCCAGGTAGCTGATTTCCCAGTGAGAAACCACGCTCCATCTACCGTCTGAAGCCTCTGCCCCACGTTTGCACTGTTGGTAAGAGAATCTGCATGACACCTTCATCTGGAGCCTTCCCACAGGTCTTAAGGATCCTGAAACCTTGCTGCAGACCTTGGATTTGGTGGAGCAGCAACCGTGACTGTGGGAAAGAACAGCGAGATGCTGCAGCACATTGACTGTAGAATGAGAGGTACCTGCAAGATGGCCAAATCTTCACTGGCAAGTTTTTATGTTTTAAGTACTCTCTACAGCCAACATGGGGCTCAAACTTACAACCCTGAGATCTGGAGACACAAGTCTACCGACTGAGCCATTGGCACATTCATTGACACCTTTAAGGCTTTTGCCAAGCATGTGAGCTTGATCCTCTGTGATTGTGATGAATTTAGGAAGATCAAGCCCAAGAATCTGAAGCAGCCAGACCATGAAGAAAGGTGGGTTTGGGGTCAAGGTGGGGCTATAAGGGGAGAATTTGTTTTCTATGACTGTGGGAGGACTGCCCCCCAAAGATGCTGGGATTGCTTGGGTACCACTTGTTGGAGCTGCAGGAGGCCCTGGGGTTGGCAGGGCAGCTGGCAGAGGAGTGCCGGCTGGTGTTGCAATTCCCCAGGCTTCTGTTGGATTAGCAGGCCCTGTTTGAGGGGTTGGGGATGCCTCAGGGAAGAGGTTCTAGAGCAGCTGTGCCGTTGTTGCTCCTACCAGCAGTGCTGGAGTCCCATCTCAATGCCCATCTAGATGGGGGACCCCACCTACTTCTGAGGGCCAAAGAACACTCCCCCAGGCATGTGGCCCCTCCACTTGGCATATGACCACCCACAAGCCCCACCACTTGGGTTCCCTGTGCTCAAAGGATGCCAATAGGAAGACCCCCTCCAGGAATGAGACCCTCTCCCCCAGGAATTAGGGGTCCACTCCCCCCAGGAGTGCATCCACCAAGACCCTACGATACTGTCAATCCTTCTAAGTCACGTTTTCCCCTGCAGTATCTCTTGCGAATCTGTGTAGGGTATTTGTATTAGTAGCTAATAAATGCACAGAGCAATTAAAACATATATCAGAAAGTAAAGGAATGCTCATTTGCAGATATGGTATGAGTAGAAAATCCTAACCAACAAGGTGATTAGAAACAAGTTTAAAAATAAAAATCAGTTAAAAAAATCAATAGATCAATGTATGCGTGGAAATTCTGTATATGATAAAGATGACATTGCTACTACTCAGCCATCAAAAAAATGAAATCTTGCTATTTGCAACGATGTGGATGGAACTAGAGGGTATTATGCTAAGCAAAATAAGTCAAAGGGAAAGACCATTATCATATGATCTCACTTATGTGGAATTTAAGAAATAAAACAGAGGATCATTGGGGAAGAGAGGAAAAATAAAACAAGACAAAATCAGAGACTCTTTTTTTTTTAAGTTTTTTTTTTTTAAAGATTTTATTTATTTCCTTCCATTTGGAAGGAAAGAAAACGAACTCTCTATCTCATGTAAAAAACACCTTCAGGTAGATCGAAGTGTTTAATGTGAAAAATAAAACTACAGAAAAAATAGAGGAACATTTAATAATCTTATGTTAAAGAAGGTCTCTCTAACAAAACTCAGAGTTTTGTTGTTGTTGTTGTTGTTGTTGTTGTTGTCTTAAAGGACAGGTTTGACTACTTGAATTTTTAAAACGTCTATAGAATCACTTCTAGTATTCCAAGTCTCTGTCACTTAGAACACAGGAGACTACAGTCTAGTTCCTTATCCTTTGTAGGTCTCAATTTTTAAAATGGGGATAACAGTAGTACCTACCTTGTAATAGAAGATTTAAATGAGGTAATCCATATAAAGCACTTAGAATGGTGTCTGGCATTTTGTAAATGCTCAGTAAAATTTAGCTATTGGCTTTATTATCACTATGACATTTACCAAATGAAAAATGACATTTACAAAGTTAAAGATAAGTCACAGACTAGGAGATATTTGTCACATAATAAACAGCCAAGGGGTTAATGTCTATACTATACAAAGACCATCTCATCTACAAGTCAATAAAATCCCCAACCAATCTGGTAGAAAAATGAATAAGAATGTGAATTGGTAATTAATAGAAGAAATTCAAATGGCTAATAAACACGTGGGGGAAAAGTTCAGCTTCATTAACAGTGAAAGAACACAGTCACAATAATATTTAGATATCATCACCATTTACTTATTTATTTATTGCCTTTCACATTGGACATTTTTGGTGTTGGTGAAAGGCTTGGTTGGACTAAAATTATTCCATTTTTAGAGAGGAATTTGGCAATGTCTATTAAAATGTAAAAAAATGTAAACTCTCTGAGCAGTGTCACTTCTAAGATCTATCCAAGGAAGCCAATGAATGCAGCATGTATGTAATGCCGAAACTTTGGAAACAAAATGAATAAGGAGACAGTCACTTAATGGAATCCTACTTCACCATTATAAAGAATGGAGTAACTCCTTATGAACTCTCCTTGAAAGATGTCAAGTGAAAAAAGCGCATTGTAGAACATTATGTATGTTAAGATCTCATTTCTGCAAAACTTAAAAAGGATGCACGTGTGCATATATATGCATGCATATAAATATACATCTGCATAAACATTAAAAAGTCTGGAAGACAGAAACCAAAATGTCAACAGTGATTTCTTCTGAAGTGTGAAATTCCTTCCTTCAGTTGGCTTATTTATTCATTCAGCAAGTATGTATTGAGAACCTACTACTACATGCTAAGTTCCGTTTTAGGCACCATGGATACAGCAATAAATAAAATGGACAAAATTCCTGTCTTCAGGCAATTTACATCTTCTATAGGGAGACAGATAGTAAGAAAAATAAAATAAAATATCCAGTGTTTCAGATGGTGATATACACTATGGGGGAAAATAAAGCAGAGAAGGGAGGTAGAAGCACAGCTTGCAATTTTAAATATGGTGGATTGAAAGAAGAGAGGGAACATTTCACAATTTTATATACTTAAAAAATCATAGGGTTAACAAGTGTTTTTCTTTCTTTCTTTTTTTTTTTTTTTTAAAGATTTTATTTATTTATTTGACAGAGAGAGATCACAAGTAGGCAGAGAGGCAGGCAGAGAGAGAGAGAGAGAGAGAGAGAGGAGGAAGCAGGCTCCCTGCAGAGCAGAGAGCCCGATGTGGGGCTCGATCCCAGGACCCTGGGATCATGACCTGAACGGAAGGCAGAGGCTTTAACCCACTGAGCCACCCAGGCGCCCCAGTGTTTTTCTTTCTTATGTGGGTGATTGTATATTACCAGTAAACAGTATGAAAAGAGAAGAAAAAGTTGTAACGGTGAAAATTCTGACTTCGCGGGTATGGCATAAATTTTGGGACCGATTTCGTTTTCTTCTTCCCACATCTTTGAGTGCAGAAGCTAACCTACAAAGGATGAAATTCTCAATCTCTCTTCCTCACTCATTGGGTATATTACTGGCATATCAATTGGTGTGTCATTTTTGTTATTTCCCCCCAAAGATTTACTTTTCTTAATTATGTTTGCCTAAGGGCATTTTATAAATTGGTTTGCGTTTCGAAGAACAAACCCACAGGGAAAGCTGATAAAATGCAAATTGTTTATCTGTGTGGGGTAATCCCATTAATCCCCTGGTGACCCTGACTTTATTAGCTCTCCCCATGAGATGGAAAGGGACTGATACTATGGAATAAAAGTTAATAATTTTGACGGCAGTTAAAGTCAACCGAATTGATTAGAAGTTCTGGGACATAGAGACCAAATCTACCCATGGTTTTTTTGGATCCTGTTTTGTGTAAGGTCTGTGGTGGATGAGCGGGTGAGCCCTCAGAGACCCATCCCAGTCTGTCCCTCTTGCTGCTCAGGGAGACTTTATGTGTTGGTGGGTGGGGGGCAATGATTTGTCATCAGAGGGCAGAATAAAGGAAGTACGGGCAGAGCTGTTGCACAAAAGGCTGAAGTTAAACAAGAGAAATACATCCGGGATGTCTGGCTTGGGATCTACAGGGACAACAACCTGAGTTCCGCATTCTGGGCCCAGGGCCCGGTGGTTTCAGGACCCGGTAGGAGTTGGTGGGAGTCAGATCCATATCCACAACAGAACCTGCCAGGATCTGCTCTAGGTGCTTCATTCTCTCCAACCGGGAAGTTCACTTTTCTGCCCTGCAGTTTCCCATTGGTGTAATGACCCTCTTAACTTCTTTGTTAGAAGGAGGTTGAGGACAAAAAAGATCTGCCCTCCACCTGAGCCAGATTAAGCTCTTTGGGATTATATTAATAGCAATCCTTCCGCCAGACTGGGCCTGTGGAGGGGGCTACACATTGTGTCACTTTCTTCTTAAAAATTTATTTAAGTCATCCCGACACCCAGCGTGTGGCCCCAACTCGCGACTCCCAGATCAAGAGCCACAGCCACCCCTCCTCCGGGCCACTGAGCCAGCCAGGCACCCTTGTCACCTTTTTCTTCTTAAACAGACTCTTTGAAATAGTTATGAGAGATACTATCATCCCCAATGTTCCAGACATTCAACAGCCCTGCGCTCTGGGTCAAAGGTAAACACCGGGAAAACACAGCTCTCAAGTCCTGATCAGGTGCTCACTGATTTCATCTGAGCCCAGGGAAGCATCTTCTGTTGGGGTAGGGGAGGTGGTCTCCCCTTACCTTACATTCATATTTCTTTTGTTTATTAAAGACTCAACGGGTTACTGATGATCCGTGTCTTCTTCACCTGATATTAATCACACTACTTAAAAAATGACGATGAATAGATTTCTTTAGTTAATTCACGTTACCATAAATACTTTGAATGACCCTTTCCTGCCCCGGGAAGAAATTCCCCTCCTAATCGAATTCAGAGCTCTCCAAGGACCCCTTGCGGCCCCCTCATTAATGATCTTGGACTACATCTCCCATCGTGCAATGGGAAAACGTGCACAAGTCCTCCGTGACCCGACGGGACCTCTAACCAATCCAGTGCCACCGCTCTTGTTCAGCGACCTATTGGTTCCGTGGAGAGGCGGGACTCTCAGTTGCTAAGTCGGTACCCTTTCCGGAAGTGGTTGTTGGTCGCTGCAGGGCAACACCCCGGCGTCCCTGGAAGCGGGGAGCCGGGGTGGTGCTGGGGAAGCTGCGCAGAGCTGGGAGCGTTGGCCCAGTGCCTCCCGGGGCGGGGGGCAGGTGAGGACCTCCTGGAGAAAGGGGTCGGGTGGCGGGGGAAGGAGGGAAGCGGGAGAGTTGGGACACACTCGTGTGCCCGCCAGCGGGAGGAGCACGAGTGTGGGCGGGAACTGGGGAGAGAGGTTGGGAAGGAGCGGCCGGACTAGGGTGCATGCATCCAGAATCTCTCCGAGTGTTGGAAGGGGCGCTGGGCTGGGCTGGGGTGCCGGCGGGGAGCGAGCGGCGAGCGGGAGCGCGAGTGACGGCGTGTGAGCTTGCTGGGGCGCCCGTTTACTTGTCCCGTCCGTGGAGAGTGAGGCCCGGCTTCCGAACCGCGCTCGAATACTTTCGTGGGGAGGCTTTCCCCGTGCCCGAATCCAGGGCTAGCCCGACCTTCTGCCGTCTTTGGGCCAGCTGGGGAAGTCGGGAAGTTTTGGAGGTTTGTTTTCCCCTTCCTTTCCTTGCACGGATGAAAAAAATCTATCTCCTCCACCTGGAATCGCAGCCCTCATTTGGCTTCCACGACTCCTCGCTCCCGGGCCTCCTAACTCAGCCGTCTTTGCAGGCCTGTCCTTTCTGCTCACCACAGGCCGCGTCTGGGTCTGGGTGATTTCGCCCGCAGTTCGGTGGCCGTCTGTTTAACTACCGTGAGCCCCAGCCACGCCTGTTTCCTGAGCTCAGACCTGCTTACCGATCATCTCCAGCTGCGTCCCTCCCCCGCCATCCTGGACCCCCAGGTCTGCGCCGCCTCCAGTAGTTCCTGTGTCGGTGAAGGACTGCGCCTGGAATTCAGTCTTAGGATATACGCGGCAAACATTTGCTGGGCATTTCCTATATTCTAGGGAGTAGGCTAGGTGGGGCTATTGGGCAAGGCATAGAAGTGAACAGATAATCCCACGCTAGTCTAAGTGCCCTGATTTCCCTCCTCCCCATCCCTCACTTGCTGCAGACTTCAGGTCCTGTGATTCTGCAGCCTAATACCCTACGCATCTGGTCCTTCCTTTCAATTCTCACAGCCACTGGCTTAGTTACTAATTTCTTGCCTGTGCTTTCAGGAAAGCTTCCTAAGTGGTCGCTCTGCTTCTGTTCTTGCCCTCCTGAAATTAGTTCTTAGACAGCTGTCAGAATATCTTGCTATATACTGCAGATCTCATCATGCCTGTTTCTTTTGTGAAATCCTGTGCTGGCTCCTCCTCACATACAGGATTCAACCTAAATCCTTCCAAGCCCTTTATAGTGTGCTCTGGGCCTTCCAACTGTAGATCTCTCTCCCGCCACTCCACCCATTCATTGTCCCTTGCGTGCTGGCCGTGTCGGAGTGGTGAAGAGCTCAGGCTTTGGGGTCAGAGAGACATGGGGGTGGCATGTCTGTTAGGCTGTGCCCTTTGCTGTCTGTGAAGCCTTGGGAAGTTGTTCTTTTTTTCTTTAACCTTGCCGAGTCTCACTTTCCTTATTTGAAAAATGGGAAAAATATTTTCTACCCCTTGGAGAGAATGGGGTGAGATGATGTATATATAGTATTAGGACCGTTCTTGGAACATAGGAATTATTCAGTGAATATAAACTTCTGTTGTCAAAATGAATTCTCTGCGCCCACTGTGTTCTTCCTGTCTCTGTGCCTTTGTGCATGCTGTTTCTTCTGCCTTCTCTTCCCATATCCTGGTGAGCTCCTGCTGATTCTTGAAGAGTCCTCTCATTGGTCCTCTACTCTGATGCTTTCCCTGATCTTCCAGAATAAAGTTAGTTGTCCTTACCTTGGTTTCTCTTTGTACCTCCTGCTATTTAACATGCCTCACACATTCTACAACCACATCTTTATGTGTTTGGCTTCTCAGCTAGGCTCAGCTGGAGTTCAGGACCTCATGTAATCAGGCTTGTAGCCTTAACAGTTAGCACAGTGCCAGCCCATGGTTGGTGTTCAATAAGTGGTCATTGAATGTCAGAAAGGCCTTCACTTACATTCCCTGGTACTCGATCTGTCCTCTGGAACAAGGTAGAATAGGCCTTTCAGATATGTAATAGTAATAACAACAACTCATTTATTGAGATCTTACTATGTTTTAAGTATCTTAGGTGTAGTGAATAATTTATTTTTATTTAATTTTTTTAAAGATTTGTTTTTTTAGTATATGTGCTGCCGAAGCAAGCACTAAAGATTTATTTTTTTAGAGAGAGCATTCACGCAAGAGTGAGCGTGAGCAGAAGGAGGGGCAGAGGGAAACAGAGAATCTCAAGCAGACTCCGTGCTGAGCGTGGAGCCAGACGTGGGGCTCGATCTCATGACCCTGAGATCATGACCTGAGCAGAAATCAAGAGTCAGAGGCCTAACTGATTGAGCCACCCAGGCGTTACCCCTCCTCCCTGCCCCCACCCATGTATTGAATAATTTGATTCTCACGGCCCTTTGGGATAGACCCTGTTATCTCCATTTTACAGATGAGAAAATTGAGGCAGCATGCTCTGCTGGTAAATGGCAGAGCTGGGGTTCAGAGCCAAGAACGTTCCCAGACCTGCACTCAGTTACCACTACATAATCCCTTCTCACGTCTCCCGCCTTCTCCCCAGTGCCTTCTTCAGTAAGCCTGCTTTTCTCGGCTGCACTTTCTCTAATTGTTCCAGCAGAGTGGAAGCAATCCATACCCAGGGAACTCTGATGATGCGTATGTGTGTGTAAGTATGCTCTGTTAGCTTGCGGGTGTTTTTACTCCTCATCACATCTCTAGTGCCAGCAAGAAGTGAACTTAGTAGGTGTTCAATAAATATTTCTCAAATGAATAAATGATGTCTAGTAGTCATTAAAGGCATAGGGTTTCTCTTCCTACCACCTTCCTCATTCCTACAGTTCCTGTTCTTTTGGTCCTGCCCTTACCCACATCCTTTCTTAAGCCAGGCAGAGCAAAGAGAGGAGGGAGAATATAGCCCACCCACATCTTGATTTTTTTTCTGATGGAAAAATTTGTTTGATATTGGAGTGATCCGTGAATTTAGATTTTCCGGGTTCTTCCTGACCTTTTCAATAGAGCTAATCAGGCATTCTGCGGCAACAAGATTTTACCTGCCGCCTGCTTTCCTGAGATGGGATGTGTCTAGGGATATGTGACATCTCCCACATGTGAGATTTCTCAGTTGCTCTGAGGTGGTTGATAAAGTGCCTTGTAAAAGATCACTGCCGTGGGGCGCCTGGGTGGCTCAGTGAGTTAAGCGGCTGCCTTTGGCTTGGGTCATGATCTCGGGGTCTTGGGCTCAAGCCCCGCATGGGGCTTTCTGCTCGGCAGGGAGCCTGCTTCTCCCCCTCCCCCACCTGCCTCTCTGCCTACTTGTGATCTTGCTCACTGTCAAATAAATAAAATCTTAAAAAAAAAAAAAAAAAAAGATCACTGCCCTGTTGGATCAAATGATGGCTAGCCTGATGTCCCCAGCGATCCTTTCCCTCTTTTTCCTAACTCAGAGAACTCAAGATTCCCCTGGCTCCTTTAGCTACATCTGGTTCCTGCTCTGCTTTTCCAGAGTCCGTGACCCTACTTACCTCTGCTGTGTGTGGAGGGATCATTACTTCGGCAGGGTGTTGTGGGATCTTCGGGTAGGAAGCAGATCCCCACTTGGGTTGATGCACCGCAGAGGAGAATGCTTCTTCCATTAGCCTGTCTTCCTGAGGCACGAGGTTACTGCTTGGAGGTGTCGCGGTGGGAGTGAGAGGGCGCAGAGTCTGATTCCCTTGGCTCCGGTGTGCTGACAGAGGGAGCCATCTCTTGTGAGTCCTGAGGCAGGATACGTTCCTTGGCCAGCTGTCAACTCTCAGGGTATGGAGAGGGCCACAGCAACAGTCCCTCCTCTGTCCTGTGCTGTTCATCACGGGTCCCTCTCTGGGGGCCCTGGGACAGATTCTGAGCTACCAGATAAGGCCGTGAGCACTCCTGACCTTCTTTTGGATGACAGGATCTTTCTGCTCACTTCCCCTGCTAGAAGAGGGCTGTGTTGTGCTTGCTGCTCCGGGTGGAGCAGTGACAGCTTCTGAAGAGGCTGCTCTAGGCTCGTGTCAGTCACCCCAGGGTGGTGACAGCCCTCCCAGCAGTGCCATACGCGGTAACCCCTGTCCAGGGTGACTTGTCTCTGCATCCTGGGGAGCTTCGGTGTGGGAGCTGCCTGAGGGGAGAGTTGTGACCCGGGGTCCTCAGTAGTTACAGGAGGAGGGATTGGAAGGGAGGAGCGATTCTAGAACGGGGACAGCTCGTCAGTTGAACAATTTGACACTGGTCCATCCCTGGAGCTACAGACCTTGGTTTCAAGTCAGACTCCTTTCCCCCAACTGTCCTCCTTCCTGGTCCTATGAAGCCTGCCATCACAGCCTCTGCCCCTTCTGCCTTCTCTCTGCTTCTGCCCTCGTTTAAGGCCTCCTCAGTGGTTTTCCACCAGTCTCATTCCTCCGGTCCTGCCGTGCCACTCCTGCCAACGTTCTCAACCTAGAAAAAGGCCAGTCTGTGTCACTTTCTTTCACCAAAGCCCTCAGCAGCTCCCTTTGCCACAGGGGAAAGGCGAGGCTCTTCTGCATGGTCTACACGGCTCTCCTCCGTGACCTGGCTTTCTGCCCCAGCCCCTGCCATGCCCGCTGGGGTCCAGCACTCCAGAACCGCTTGTCTGCACACGATGTCCCCTTGCCTAGAACACTTCTCTCCACTCACGCCACTCTTGACCGCCCTTCATCCCCAGCCCCTTGACAAAGCCTGCGATCCTCCCTTCAGCGGGAATGTTCTTTCTCTCCGAGTATTTCCAGAGCTGTATGGTTTTACTCTCCTTCTGCCTTCTAACATTAAGGTTGGGTTTGCTACTGCCACTAGATCGTCAGCTCCCTGAGGACATGGTTGAAGACAAATAGGGATGTGTGCTGAGACTGTGGGACTGCCCTGGGGTACGTTGGTATATGGGAGTGAGGGGTGCTGCTAGTTCCTCTGGTGTTTCACTAGGGTTTTCTAGCTGGGGGTCCTATACTGTGAATTATTTCTCCTGTGTTGGGGGCGGGCGGCATATGAAGTCAAACTCTCAGAGAAGGCTGGGTTTCCAGATCCTTTGTGACTCACTCTGTGTTCAGCAAGCCTTTGGGAGGTGTGTCTCAGGGAACTTTCCCAGGTGCAAAGCCTAGAAGGCCTGGGTTTTGAGCTGTTTGTCCCACACTTCACTGTCCCTGGAGTTGGAAAATCCCCGGCTAAGCTGGTGTGCATGGTCTGGTCTGACCCAGGTGCTGCATGACCCAGCTCCGGTTTTTCCCCTTTTAAGCCGGGTCACTGATTTTCTCTTTGGGCGCAGGTGTTTGGGACCGCAGGTGTTCGAGCCCAAACCAGTCATGGCCGGAAGACCCATCCGCATAGGAGACCAGCTGGTTCTAGAGGAAGATTATGATGAGACGTACATCCCCAGTGAGCAAGGTAAGAGGCCGGGGGTGCAGTTCGAGGGCAGGGATGATCTCGGATTGAGCTCTGTCCTTCCAATACGAAGCATGCAGTGTGCGCGGGGCCACTCCGTGTATTCGCTTAAATCAGGGAAAACTATAGTCCGTGGACCTGACCTGGCCTGTTGCCTTCTTGTAAATAAAGTTTTATTGGAAAATAGCCATGCTTTTTCTTATGTATTGTCTATGGCTGCTTTTCATGGCACACGGGCAGTGTTGAGGGGTTGTGACAGGAGCCCTGTCATGCACAAAGCCTAAAATACTTACTGTCTAGCTCTTTACACAAAAGGTTTGCTGACTGGGTTGGATCAGTGATTAATTTAATTTACTTTTATTTATTTATTAGAGAGAGAGAGAATGAGCAAGGGGAAGAGGGAGAAGCAGACTCCCCACTGAACAAGGAGCCCGATGTGGGGCTCAATCCCAGGACCCTGGGATCGTGACCTGAGTCTGAGGCAGATGTTTGACTGACTGAGCCATCCAGGTGCCCCTGACCAATGATTAATTTTAAAATGAAAATATAGGGGCGCCTGGCTGACACAGTCCATAGAGCATGTGACCCAATTTCAGGGTTGTGAGTTTGAGCCCTACGTTGGGTGTAGAGATTACTTAAAAATAAAACCTTAAAATGAATGAATGAATGAATGAATGAATATTTTTAAAAAAGGAGTCCATCTTAAGAAAAAACAATATAGTAGGGGATATCGTGAAATATAGTGTGTCCTAAAGCCAGGAGGTAACCCAATTTCATAAGATGAAAACTAAAGCCTTTTTTTTTTTTTTTTTTAAAAGATCATATGTATTTATTTGACAGAGATAGACACAGTGAGAGAGGGAACACAAGCAGGGGGAGTGGGAGAGGGAGAAGCAGGCTTCCCGCTGAGCAGGGAGCCCCGTGCAGGGCTCCATCCCAGGACTCTGGGATCATGACCTGAGTCGAAGGCAGATGCTTAACGACTGAGCCTCCCAGGCGCCCCTTGTTTTGAAACAGCAGAAATAACAGAATTTACTGAGTGCTCCTCTGTATTGGTTTCTGTGCTAAGAATTTTACATGTATCTCCTTTACTATTTTTTTTTTTTTTAACTTAAGTGATCTCTGTACCCCATGTGGGGCTTGAACTCATAACTCTGAGATCAGGAGTTGCATGCTCTTCCAATGGAGTCAAACAGGTGCCCCACATCTACTTCTTTTCAACCCTCACAGCAGCTCCATGAGTTAGGTACTGTTACCATTCCCATTTTACAGATGAGGAAATGGGGCACAGGAAAGTAAACCAACTTCCATCAAGGCACAGGTCTGCTGAGCAGTGCAGCTGGGACCCACAGCCAGGTATCCTCACGAAAAGCACCGTCTTCCTGTTTATGCTCCCCCTTGCACCAGAGTGTTCTTACAGTGTAAAGCAGATCATAGCAGGGCTCTGCTTTTAGTAATAATCTATTCTGTTTAGTAGAGCAACCTTAGTGGGGTGTGTGGGACTCTGCATGACCCAGTCTGCCACCTGGCTGGGCTCACCCAGTGCCAGTGCCGTTCTCTCTTTCCCACTCTGCCAGTCACATGACCTTTCTGACAGTCCCCAGAGGGGCCAAACTACCACTTGCCACAGGCCTTTTGCACCTGAGTGCTCTTTCCTCAGTGCTCTGCATGGCCAGCAACCTTGTCTCCTCTAGGTTTCATTTCTGTTCCATTCTGAGAGGTTTCCCTTGGCCCTTTCCAAAGGAGTGCCCCCTCCACCTTGACATTCTCTCTCTCATTCCTCATTTACTTCCTTCATTTCCTTTATTAGAAGCTGTAATTCTTTGTGCAGTTGTCTGTTCACTTCTTTACTGGTGCTTTCTTCTCCATAAGGACAGACACTGTTTCTCTTATTCACAGCACACAGGAAGCACTCAAAAACTGTGAGCTCTGTGAATAAGTTTGTCCCTGGCTAGCCAAATTCTAGCTGGTCCTTTGAAAAAGTGCTTTTTCTTCCCTGGTCCCCAGGTGTGTCATCCTCCCCATTCCCCCTGAGATGACCCAAACTGGTGATGCTTTTCTAGCCTGGGCTCTTAGCAGTTGAAGCATCGATGTGTTTATTTCATTATTCCTGGGGGCTCTGGTGACATTCCAGTGGTTAGCTCATCTGTCTTTTTCCCTATTGGTGTGAGCTAGCTCTTAGTATGTATATGTATATATATATCTCCCTGGTTCCTCCAGATCTCTGGTGAAAGAGCTTTCTAAATGCTTCCCACAAGAGTATAACACAAGTCTCAGAGTCTATAATATATAGCAAAATTGGAAAAGAAACAACTGCCATCATGGGTGAGAGGGTCAAGTGGAGAACAAAGCTGCTCAAGTATCATCCCCCTTTCCCAGCTCAGACGTCCCCGGACCCCGAGCGGAAGTCACTGCTCTGTCTCTGCTCCTGGGCACACAGTGCAGATCTCCATTCAGACTCCTGCCCCGTGGTTTAGACTCCGTTCGTGGGTTGGTAAGGTCCTCCGGGTGCTTAGTCTTCTCTAGTTGCGTTCATGCTAGTTGACTGAGTGACGAGCACTTTTGCAGCAAGATTTTGGAAATCTTGGGAGAGCTTGTGTCTCAGTAAGGCTGACCTCATTCAGGATGGCTCTGGCTGTGGCTGGTGCGGCTTCTTCCCCAGGTCCCTGCCGCACTGATGGTCTTGGTCTTACCGTTTTGCCTTTGTCATCCTTGGCTTCAGGTGACATTCCTGGAGTATGGCAGTAGCATGCCTTGGTTCAGGTGGACCATTTATCATTTAAGAAGATGAAATTAGGGGCGCCTGGGCGGCTCAGTGGGTTAAGCCTCTGCCTTCGGCTCAGGTCACGACCTCAGGGTCCTGGGATCGAGCCCCGCATCGGGCTCTCTGCTCAGCGGGGAGTCTGCTTCCCCCTCTCTCTCTGCCTGCCTCTCTGCCTGCTTGTGATCTCTGTCAAATAAATAAATAAAATCTTAAAGATGAAATTATGTAAGTTTATTGTTTATAGTTAGAGACATAACACTTGCTCACTTAGGAAAATTTAGAGAGTAAAGGTGAAGTAGAAAAAAAAAGTTGTCTAGGAAGAAACTCTGCTTTTCCTTTACTCTCACCGTCAAAATGCTGGCACTAGAGGTGTGGGGGTTTCCTAACACCAGCTGTATGTCCTACAATTCAGTTCAGCCCTGACACTGTGTCCCTGGAGAGAGCATCTGATCCCACAGGCTAAGTGCTCAGTCCCACAAGACTGCCCTTACTTCAGACTTGCCGTAGCAAGTCCCAGGCTGTCCCTGGTACTTCTGACCAACAAGCGAGACACCAGAGTCCCATGTCCCCCTCCTTGGGTTTGATAATTTGCTAAAACAGGCCACAGAACTCAGGGAAACACTTAAAACATACATTTTCCAGTTCATTGTATAAGAAAGGGTATCATAAAGGAAACAGATGAATAGCCAGATGCGGAGATCCAATGCGTGAGGTCCGAGAGGGCCCCAGTGCAGGAGCGTCTGTCTCTGTAGACCTGGGACGCAGGTTCCCCCGGCACGTGGTAGTGCTCGCTAACCACCACAGCTCTCTGAGCCCCGTAGTTTAGGGATCTTCATGGAAGCTTCTTCACCAAGTCATGATCGATCATTAACTTCTTTTCGAGCCCCTCTCCGGGGAATGGGGGTGAGGCCGAAAGTTCCAAGCTGCTTCTTCTTCTTCTTCTTTTTTTTTTTTTTAAAGATTTTATTTATTTGTTTGTTTGTTTTAGAGAGAGAGGGCGTGTGTGCACAGGAGCCTGGGAGAGGCGCGAAGGGAGAAGTCGGTTCCCTGCTTATCAGGGCTGACATGGGGCTCGAGCCCGGGATCCCGTGGATCATGACCTGAGCCCAAGGCAGATGCTTAACCGACTGAGCCGCCCAGGTGGCCCCCCGCTTCCAGATTTTTTATTTAAATAATCTCTACACCAGCATGGGGCTCGAACTCACCACCCCGAGATCAAGAGTTGCATGGTTTACCAACTGAGCCAGCCAGGTGCCCCAAGGCCCAAGCTTCTAAACATGGCTTGGTCTCTCTGGTGACCGTCCCTCATCCAGGAGCCTGCCCAGAGTCACCTCATTGGTAGAAAAGATGCTTTGGAAGTTCCTGGGGCTTTCGGAGCTCTGGTCAGGAACTTGGGTCCAAAGTCAAATAGTAACGGGAACCGGGAGCCAACAGGTATATTTCTTATTATTTCTTATTATTGCACAAGGTACACTATTGCACAGCTATGATTTTTTTTCTCCTTTCCACATCCCCAGCTTCCTTCCTTTCTCATTCTCCTGCCTCTTCTTGCAGAAATTCTTGAGTTCGCCAGAGAGATTGGTATCGACCCCGTCAAAGAGCCGGAACTGATGTGGCTGGCGAGGGAGGGCATTGTGGCCCCGCTGCCTGTGGAGTGGAAGCCCTGGTAAGTCAGCACGCATGTGGCCCGCCGGCTTGGCCTCTCCCAGGCAGAGGGAGCTGGCCCTGGAGGTCAGCTTGCATTTGCCACCTTTAGAAGCCTGTCCTGCACAGAGCTGGGAATGGCAGTGGGCTCTCCCTCTACTGCACCACTTGATGCCTTGGGCCTGACCTGCTTGGTCCAGGGTCCCAGGAGCGGCTGCCTTGGGTCAGGTCTCACAAGGGCAGCGTCTGTTTCCCACACGCTGGGGAGGTGTCATTGCTATTCTTTGCAGACTGCCATGGAGAGTGACAATACTGAGACCCGGTCAGCATGTCCACGGTGGATCCGGTGCTAAGGAGGGCTGTGGTGGGGCTCCACAGCCTGGTGGGGATTCTGTCTGTCTTGGCAACCTGTCTCTGACTTTGAGTTGTGGAATCATTCCTATTTTCAGTTTGGCTCTGAGCTCTCTGAATGGTGGTGAGCGGACCCACTCAGCTTGTGTCGGGGAACCAGGTTGATGGTGAGGAGGCTAACAGGGTCTTGGAAGCTGTTGCCAGCCTGTCGCCGCTTGAGAACTGCATCCTGCCCCACTCTCGGGGGACGGTGACACCTGTTCTCTCTTCTGGCTGCCTCCTCTGTTTTTCCTGTCACCGGTACAGTGCGTACCGGCTTGCCTCTGCAAGTGTGTGCTAAGTTTACTTCCTCTTGGAGTGTGCCACTTGCCTATGCTTGTCCCCAGCTAGTGCCTAGGTGTCTTCTGGGGTTCTCCGTTCTGCCAGTGTGGCACGGTTTTGTGGGCACGGTGTAATTAATCTGCTCTTACGCATCCATTCAATGTGTTCTCCAAGCTTCAAAAGACTGCCTCTGTGGCCTTACCCATCCCTGCTGAAGAATCATACGTAATCCTTTTAGCTTCTCCTTAGGTGGCAGGCTCCGCGTTCTCTTGATCTTTTTAGCTGCATCTCCTCGGATCTCCTCCAGTTTCATCTTTCTCATAAGAAGTCCGTCCGTGGTGTACACGGTATTCCAGGTGCTGAGGACGCATGTTGGGTTTGTAGGATAAGTTCGTAGGAAGTGGTTTCTGTTTTGTTGCCAGTTTCCACCCTGATACCCACATTTGCCTTATCTGTTTTTTTCACAGATTTGTTTGTTTATTTTAGAGAGTACATATGGGGGGAGGGGTAGAGGGAGAGAATCTTCAAGCAGATTCCACGCCCAGGGCAGAGCCTGATGCGGGAGCTTGATCCCAGGAGATCATGACCTTGATCGTGACCAAGAGTCGGTCGCTTACCTGACTCATCGGCCCAGGGCCGGACATTTGCCTCATCCATTAATCTCTATCTTCTCTGTTTTTGTTTTTATGTTTGTTGGTACATGTGCTGTTTTGCTTTTGGATCCATTTTTGAATGAAAAACCACATGAGAAGTATAATCAGTATAGTAATACCTTAATGCACACATACCTAATAAATAAATGGCAGCCTTGTTTGTGAAAAGGAAAGCGGAGGGCGGAAGGGAAGACACCGTCGTCGGTCATGGGTCAGCCGGGCGCCCGTGTGCTGGGCTTTGTGCCCGCTGCCTTCACGGTCCTGCTCGCGGTGGCCGGCGCTCCCTCAGCCTAGAAGGGAGCATGAACTCTAATTTTTAAAACACTGTAAGTCATTAAAATTTATCTGTGCGTGCCATCTTCTATCCTGTCAATTCCAAGAGTAACTACCGTTAATTGGTGACTTCCTTCCTGGCCTTGAAAACAGACTCGGCAGGACGCACATGGTTTTGTTTGTTACACTAAGTGTGTGCAATATACATTGTTGCTATTCTCTTGTCAACGTGTGGCCCACCTTAGCCTTTTATCAGCTACACACTTTTACATGTAGAGATGTGCCCTAATTTTTAAAAATCCTGATTTATTTAACCACTCTTGTACTGAAGGGTGCTTTGATTTATTTTTGGAAATTAACCCTATGTATGGGTCTACTTCTGGCTTCTCTGCTCTCTTCCATTGATCTGTTTGTCTACCTTAACACCGATACTGTATGTACTATCTTGATTACTGTAGCTTTATTATAAGTCTTGAGGTCATTTAGGGTAAATCCTCCAGCTTTTGTTCACCGTTTTCCAAGTTGTAATTATTGTAGGTCCTCTGCATTTCCATATGAATTTTAGAATCAGCTTGTCATTTTCTACAAGAAAAAGAAAATCCTATTAAGATTTTGATTGGCATTGCACCGAATCTATAAATCAATTTAGGGAGAATTGACCTCTAATTTTCATGGAGTCTTTCAACCCCTGAGGAGGGCCCGTCTCTGTTTATTTAGATGGTTCTTTAAGAAATGTTTCCTGGTTTTTAGAGCACATGTCTTGCCCATATTTTGTTACATTTATTCCTAAGTAGTGTGTATTTTTGATGTTTCTGTAAATGGTATATATTAAAATTTCAATTTCCTATTGTTTTTATATAGAAATAAAATTAGCTTTTGTATATTGATCTTGTAGCTGGCAACCTTGTAAACTCATGTGTCAGTTCTTTTTTTTAATAGATTTATTTATTTATTTATTTATTTGAGAGAGAAGTGTGTGTGCCCTTGGGCACACAGTGAGCTGGGGGAGTAGGAGGGAGGGAGAGGGAGAGAGCAGACTCCCCTCTGAGCATGGAGCCCAAAGCAGGGGATGGGGTGGGGGGCCCATTCTCATGACCCCAAGATCATGACCTGAGCCGAAATCAAGAGTCTGACACTCAACTGACTGAGCCACCCAGGTGCCCCATATATGTCATTTCTAATAGTTTTGTAGATTACATAGGATTTCCTATATATGTGATCACAGTCTTCATGCAAAAGACATTTTTACTTCTTCCTTTCCAATCTGGATGCCTTTTATTTTTATTTCTTTCCTTACTGTACTGACTAGAGCTGCCAATAATAGAAGTGGTGACAATGGATATTTTTGCTTTGTTCCTGATCTTAAGGCATTGAGTATGATGTTAGCTGTAGTTTTTGTAAATGCCCTTTGTCAAGGTGAAGAAGTTCCCTGTATTCCTGGCTTGCTCAGAGTCTAAATCAAAAAGCATATAGGTTTTTACCAAATGCTTTTTCTGTATCTATTGATACGATCGTGGGTTGTTTTTTTTTTTTTTTTTTCTGTTTTAGTCTTAATATGGTCAATGATATTGATTGATTTTCAAATATTAAACTGACCTTACATTCCTGGGATAAAGTCCACCTGGTCGTGATCATATATTATTGGATTTGATTTTCTAAAATTTTGTTAAGTATCTTTATTCTAAAATAATAATTTGAAGGGGATGAGGTAGATAGAGTTTGGGTATTTTTTTTTTATTACTGACTTCCAATTTTATTTATTCATTTTTTTGTTATGAGTCAAGACCTTTTCTGGCTCAGTAAGTGGTTCTATTTGTGTAAATGTTCTAGGTGTTTTCAATAAGAATGTAGTCTCTCATTTTTCAATATAGGGTTCTATAAATATCCTTTCTATCAAGCATCTAGGTGTGTTTATGTCTTCCTGTGTCCCTGGGCACTTTTGTTTGGTCTCACTCTGAATAACAGTTTGAGTACAGAATTGTCTCTTGAATTTGAACAGCCTTGGCCAATATTATGTACCATTATCTTCTGACTTACGGTTTTCCTTAATAAGACATATTTTCTTGGTCTCATTTGTTGTTCCTTAGTGGGTAGTAAATCTTTCCCCCCTCTGGTTATTTTTATAATTTTATTTTCATCTTTGGTGTTCTATAATTTCACTGCAGTGTATCAGGTGTGTATTTATTTCTATTTCCCAAGTTCAGGATTTGGGTGCTTTCTTTCTTTGAGGAGTCCTGTCTCTTCATCCCCCTTTCCTCCCCTAATTTAATGATTTTACCAATTCTTACAAGTTCTGTTATGTTTTTTCAATGTCTTTTTTTTTTTTTTTTTAGAGTTCTGTTCTTTCATTATGGCTTCTACTCTTTTTATCTCTACAGTAATTTTAGTTGTAGTTAGTTTTAGTCTTCTTTTGATGATTCTACCATGCCAAGTGTCCTTGTGTGCTAATGCTTGTCTTCGCTGGCTCTGATTCCCTTTCACCATGAACTATCTCCCCCATGGGGTTTGTTAATTAAGTATTGGGACTTTTGGACTCCATCTTCTTTTTTTTTTTTTTTAAGAGTTTATTTATTTAACAGAGATCACAAGTAGGCAGAGAGGCAGGCAGAGAGAGAGGGGGAAGCAGGCTCTCCACCGAGCAGAGAGCCCGATCATGACCTGAGCCAAAGGCAGAGGCTTTAACCCACTGAACCACCCAGGCACCCGTGGACTCCATCTTCTATAGAGTATCTTCTGTGTTTTATTCCTAGGTTGTTGAGTGGCTTTACGATAGCTTATGCCGAGGATTTTTCAGTGGGTTTAGGACTGAATTTTTACATTAATTTTCTGATTTGGGATTTCCTTACCAAATTTGGACTCTATGTCTACATGTGTCTTGGGGTTTTAATTTTTAATGAAATTTGATTTTGCCTGCCTAGACCTGGATTGGGTGACATGTTTCCTTGCTCCACTATGTTTTTCTACTCAGGGAGCAAGAAACCTTAAGGGCCCAGCCATATGCAAGGGTCTCATTCCTGGTTTCCAGATTCCTGAAAGCTTAAGGTCATCTCTTGTGTCTGGCAGTTGGCATTAAAACCCAGGTTTGAAAGGTCTCTGTCTAGGTCAGACACCAGACTATTGACCTGTTACTTCTCATACTAATCAGGCTTCATGTGTTCTTTCTTTTTCTGGCCTCTAAGAATTTGGCCCCAGGTGAGGAGAGGTCAGATGTTTCCTTCAGTTTGGTTAAGCACGTTGCCTGAGATTTTGTATGTGTATCTTGAGAAGAAATTTCTAGAATTTGATTTTAGATGTGATTTGATTTTAGATTTCTAGATTTTGAATTGATGTGTTTAAAGATATGCTGAATTTAAATATCATTAATTAATGCTAAATTACTTTCCATTACAGTTTAACAATCCCTCCAATAATAGTACATGTGGTTCATTTAAAAATACTATCGATTATAACATTGTCAACCCCCCAGAAATGATCAGTACAAAAAAAATTGTCACTCCAAGGGCAGGAAATTATACCTGATCATTTGAATTTGCATTTCTTAAATTGTTCATTGAGTGGAACTGGCCGTCTGTTGGCCGTTTGCTTCTTTATACCCTTTGCCAGTTTTATGTGCTGGGTCGCTTATCTTTTTATTTTGGAGAAGGTGAAACTCGGATTTTTCTGTGTATTAATCTTCTACTACTGTTTCTGTTATTTTCTTCCATTCTCCTGTTTTTTAATGTCTTTACTCTTTCTTTTTATCACACTGAAATTATACATTTTTGTAATTTTTTTTCCTGGTAAAACATACATAACATAAAATGTCCTGTTTTAACCATTTTTAGATAGACAGTTGAGTGGCACGAAGCACATTCACAGTGTTGTGTAAGCATTACCACCATCCAGTTCTAGAATTTTTTCAGCTTCCTAAACTGAAAGTCTGTGCCCACTCTCCCCACCTGCCAGCTCTGGGCAACCTCAGATCTACTTTCCGTCTCTGCTTATTAACCTGTTCTAGACGGCATCAGTGGACCCACAGTATTGGTCCTTTTGTGTCTGGCTTATTTTACTTAGCTTCACATCTGCGGGCTTCATCCGTGTGGTAGCCCGTGTCGGTACCTCCTTCCTCTTCAAGGTGGAATAAAATTCTAGGGTATGTCTGTGCTACATTTTGTTCATTCGTTTGTCTGTCGGTGCGCATTTGGGCTGCTTGCACCCTTCTGCTATTATGAATAATGCTGCTGTGAACATGGTGTACAAAAGTCTGCTCGAATCCCTGCTTTTGGTGTTTTTGGGCGGAATTGCTGGGTCATATGGGAGTTCTGGTTTTAATTTTTAGGGAACTGCCACACTGTTTCTCATGGTGGCTGCACCCCTTTCCATCCCCACCAACAGTGTACAAGGGTCCAGTGTCCCCACATCCTCGCCCACACCTGTTCGTCCCTGCTCGTTTGGCAGTAGCTGTGCTGCTGGACATGAGTGGCCGCCCACGTTCCCTGATGGTCATGGGTGTCGTACGGTTTCTGGTGTGCTTCTCTGTCGTTTGTTAGCTTTTTATCTTTCATCCCTGATATTTTCCCTGCTTATTTCTGCATGTTTTCTCTTTTATTAGAATCACGATTGAGCTTGTCAAGTTTTATAAGGAGCCTGTTTGGGATTCTACTGGGATTGTATTGGATTTATACATTAATTTGAGGATTATTAGCATGTTTATAGACGTGAGTCTTTTTTTTTTTTTTTAATGTAGTCTCTACACCCAGTGTGGGGCTTGAACTCACAACCCCAAGATCAAGAATCATGTGCTCTGCCAACTGAACCAGCCCGGCGCCCCCAGACTTGAGTCTTTCTATTCAGTAACAGGGACTGTCTCTCCAAGTGCTTTTTCTTTTTTCCTTTTTCCTGATTTTTTGGTAAAGCTTTATAAAGATTTTGCACACTTTGGATTTAGTCCTGGGTATTGTGTCTTTTTATATTGCTGTTGTGAATGTGTGGTTTGTTCTTTGTTTTTCTAATAGTTGTCCCAATGGATTGTTGATAACAGCGGATGTAATGAATGGCTTATTTTGGGCTTGTCTATGTCAAAACACAGATTCTTGAAATGCACCTTTTATGTTGTTTTTCTTCTTTTTATTTCTTTTTAGAGGGAGAGAGAGAGAAAAAGAGAGAATTGGGGGGGGGGCAGAGGGAGAGAGAGAATCTTAAGCAGGCTCCATGACCCTGCGATCGAGACCTGAGCCCAAAACAAGAGTCGGACGTTCAACCGACTGTGCCACCCAGGTGTCCCTACGTTATCTTCTTCTATTGTTGATCCCCACTGACTTGGATTGTCACCTCTTGTGAGTTCAGAGTCTTCTGCAAAACCAGAGCTTTCGGAATGGCTCTTTCTTCCTTACACCATTTATAAAAATAGTAAACAAGGTTGACCCTTGAATTTATCTCCAGGATCCCGTGGCATCTGTACTTACCATCTAAAACCAAGTTTATACCTACTCAAGTCCAGCATGAATTCCCAGGAACCCCGATGATTATATATCTTCTTCTAGAGAAGTCCTTAGGCATCCCAGTCCTTTGTTCCTAGCTAAGTTAAGTCCTGTCTTAGCCACATGGTACCCTTCCTATAGGTAATCCTCCCTATGTCCTCTTGCCCTCTTCTTTCTCCTTCTGCTCCTCTCACGCCATTCTTCCTTCTTCTCCATCTCCTGGCCACTTTTCTTCTCTTTCTTTTTTCCCCCTAAGTAGCTTTGGGCCTGAGCAGAGACTAATTTCTGATCTCTGCTCTCCACAGCCAGGACATCACAGGTGATATTTACTATTTCAACTTTGCCAATGGGCAGTCCACGTGGGACCATCCGTGTGACGAGCACTATCGGAACTTGGTTATCCAAGAGCGGGGGAAGCTGTCAGCTCCTGGAGCCATTAAGAAGAAAGACAAGAAAAAGAAAAAGGAAAAGAAAGACAAGAAGGACAAAGAGAACCCCAAAAGTCCGCTGGTGAGTCCGTGGCTGCCAGTTCCCAGAGAGGCCAGGGCTGAGACCTAAGGGAATGTTGGGAGCCTCTAGGCCTTTCCAGCTGGGAAGTTAAGAACAGCACCAATAATATAGTGATTTCTTCATAGTATATCACCTCCGATCTTCCTATCTCTTGGCAAATTTTCCTTTTAGCTTCTGGAAGTTCTTACTGCCTCTGAACAATTCCTTTTATCCCCCTTGGGAAGTACATGCTGTGTGGTGGGATTAGGGAGCGAGAGCAGTCTGCCGAGCTCTGCGGCGGTCGGGGAAGCGGTGTCATTTGTCCCTGTGGAGAGTGGGGGACGGGGGACAGTTGACAGAGAACCCAGACGAGTGGAGTGTCCTCCCTGCCCCTTTAGAGCCAGGTCTTCCCAGGGTGGTGCAAATTCCTAGATGTCAGATGTAGCCCTAATTCAACTGTCAGGACGCCAGTGCCTTCCACATCCAGCGAGGAAAGCTCTGGGCTGTATCTGCTCCTATGGATTGTCTGTGTGGCCGGTGTCGGCTGTTAGCGGTGCATAATCGACATTTGATGGCAGCGTGATCATCTTGGTCTTGGGTAGTTTGTTTTTTTTTAACTCGGAGTTGAAAGCGCTCTTTGCCCTTATTTTGTTTCATTTGTTCCTCCAGTGTGTCTGAACTCTAGAGACAGAGTTATGGCCCTGAATTTATAGGTAAAGAAGCTAAGACTTGGAGCCATCCCGATGTGAGGCCCAGGCTCGCCCAGAGTGCTCTGGTGGTCCAGGAAGTCCTTCACCCAGGTGTGGGGCAGGTGTGAGGCAGGTGTGTTGCAGGTGCGGAGCAGGTGTGGTGCAGGTGGGGCACAGTGAGGAGAGGGAGGCCCCATAGGAACCCAGGCCAGCCAGCAGGGGGAACACTGACTATCTTTTCAACCCTCTCATTTGTCCAGCTTTCTGTTTGTAGTCTGTTTCCCACAGTGCTTAGTGCTTGCTTCTCAGTGAAGGTTTCCTCCAACTAACTAACTAACTTCCTTCCTTCCTTCCCCAAGGCATCAGTTCTGCCACTGGATGGTTGCTGGTGAATTTGTCTCTTTCAACATTTCCAACCTCTAAACATACTCTTCCTTCTCTCTCCCTTCCCCATGTACTGCTACTCATGATCCCAAGAAATAAGATAGCAAGCCCATCCCTCCAGATGGAGAAAAGAGGTTGGGTAACGTCCACATCAGTTGAATTTTCTGATGTTACATGTTTGAAAGGCCCAAGATGGATAATGGGCTTTTCATTAGCCCAGAACTACTTTAAATGATAATCAGTGTCTGGGCAGGCTCTGGCATGGCTAAAGGTGAGAGAGGGAATGAGGCGAGTGTTCTGGGGCAGAGGGTTGGGTGGCAGAGTTCTGGGTATGTGAGTAAGTGCTTGGAGCTCCCTGTTAAAAAGGATTCCTTTGTGGTTTCAGGAGCTGAGGATGATTGGATAGCCTTGGGCTGCCAGTCTGGATCTCAGGGCTCAGGACAGTGCCTCAGACCTGGGTTTGTGTAGAAGGCAGGCCTGAGCCAGGTGGGTGACCTGGGCTCAGGTGTCTTGGGCTCTCTGGCGGTGTGCGTGCATAGGCCGGCTGGAGCTTAGTGTGAATGTTTGCAGGATGAGGTCTGTCTTTTAGGGTCTCTTCGAGACCGAAGATTCTCTGGTGTGGACCTCTCTTGAGCAGTACCAGTTTGCATCTCTGCTGGAAGACCTAGATGGAATTCCCATGGCTCAGCTCACTGGCCATGTTTCCCTTCTCTCCCTTCTTAGACAATTTCTGGTGGTCTTTGGTAAGGCGGGTGGATTTTATGAAATTCACCAGTCCCAGAACTGAGAGCCTGATGACACCTTAGGGATAATCTGGTTGGTGACTCAGACCTTTGTGAATAGTGAAACGCTGCCTTCCAGTCATTTCCTCTGTGGAGGTATAGCATATCAAGAAAAGTGAACCTTGGGGTGTAGGTCTTGGTGACGCCCCTTCCCCATTACATGTACACTAGAGTGATCTACCGGCAGGTTCTGTGAAGCAGGGGGGTAAGCCATTGATCTAGTCCAGCTTCCTCTATAGGTGAGGAAACTAGGGCCCAGAAAACAATGGAGCTGAAAGGAGTTTTTAGCTCTTTCTTTTCTTTTCTTTTTTTTCCCTCTTAGTTTTTGTTTTCCTTTAAATGGCGGATGGGTTTCTGCTAAGGGCTTGCCCAGGACTGAGGTAGCAAGTATAAAACAGAAGTGCTTTGTCTTCGTTCTCTCTGCATGTTTATATACCCATCTAGGAAACACAGCCTGAGCAGGGACTTCTGCCTTCTTCCTCCCTTCTCCGTGGCCCATCCCCTCTCTCGGCACCTGGGCTTGCTGATCTGGACCCAGACCAGGAGATGCAGGCTAGAAGTGAGGGCTCCTTTAAGAAAGGGAAGAGCCCCAGCGTGCTGGGTGACACGCCCTGGCCTCTCCTGGGCACCCTGCCCGGCAAGCTACAGCCACTCTCCAAAGGCCAAGCTTCTCGAACCCACCAGATCTTTGCGGATGTGGAGGAAATCTTAGGCAGGGCCCCAGCCCAGTGCAGGACAGAATTGGGTGACCAGCAGGGCCTGGGGAAACCCCAGAAGCCGACAGACAAAATCTACCTGGGGTTTTCCGACCCTGAAATAGAAGAGCTGGAACTGAGGACCAGACAGCAGAAGCCCAGCGCCCTGGGCGCTGAGAACACGAGGCCCCTCCAGAATGGGCAGGATGTGCTGGAAGGCAGGAGCCAGGCCTCTGTGTACTCAGGGCTTTCTGAAACCATCACCGGCCTACAGCTGAGAGGGGAGCAGCATGGCCACCACGTGGCCAAATGGGGCTCCACTGGCCCCGGGGGAGACAAGAGCCAGAGTCCCATTCCCTCACCGTCCCTGGAGGAGGACCACTCCCAGTCCCTGTGTTCCTCTGACCACATGCCGCCTACCAGGAAGAGCCAAGCGCTCTTGCTAGATAGCGCCGCGACTGATGGCCTGAGCTGGCGGGGCGTTTCCAGGGAAGGTGGTAGTGTGGGCAGGGGGAGGAAGAGGAAAGAGCCCCCAGAACTGTGGATGGGGCAGGTCTCCGAGCTTGTCAACCAGGACATCCTGGGGAGCTGCAAGGAGACAGGACCCGATGCCCCTGAGGCTCTAGGGGCATCAGCCAAAGACCCGCCGCAGGAGCTCTTCTTGCTGCCGCCCGCCCTGCTGGCCTTAGAGCTGGCCCAGAATGCCCCTGCCGGGAGTGCCCCCGGACGCTCCCCTGACGGTGAGGAGAGACAACCCCCGGGGTCCCTAGAGCCCCCCGAAGAAGACAGGAAGCCTAGTGAGTCTGAGCCTGACGTGGAGAGCAGCAGCCTGGCTTCTCACCTGGGCTCGCAGATCCTGGGTGAGGTGAGCAACTTCCCTTGGGACCTGCAGAGCTCGCAGGGCTCTGAGCAGGACGGGGGCCAGCCGGCTCCCAGGGCCAGAGGGCAGCGCCGCAGCCCCTTCCTGGGACTGCAGTTGGCCCACTTGCAGAGCTCTGCCGACGAGCAGTCAGAGAGCGAAGACTACTCTGAGGACCAGAGATTCTACCGGCACATCCTGCAGATGGTCAAGATCTCCAGGCGGCTAGAGGGCCTGGAGCTGCCCGAGAGCACGCGGGAGACGCCGTGTAAGGCTCTCGCCAGCATGGTCTGTTGCCTGGCGGCCGAGTCTCCCAGAATGTCTAGTGAGGGTGAGCATGAGGCTGGCAGAGCCGTGGAGAGGGACTCGAGGCTCCTGGCTTGGGGGCCGGAGATGCTGGAGCACCCTCAGGAGGCGGCTCTTGCCCCTGCTGGCCAGGCGGTCCCTCAGCAAACCTGTGTCCAGCCCAGCAGCAGCCCCCTCAGCCAGGGGCCGGTCGAGCTGAGGTGCAGCAGAGGGCTCGCTGCGGATTGGGGCAAGGTGAGGCTTCTCAGCCAGGTAGGCCTCTTAGTGAGTGGGGCCTATGGGCCTCCGTGAACCTGGGTGGGGAGGGGCCAGGTCCAGCTGACGTTCTCACTTGTCCTCACTCAGCCGTCAGGCCTGCTTTCCTGTTGTGTGCTCTCCTCTGGTAACTGCTGATCTCTTAGCTATCCGGGCCAGCCCTCTTGTGGGCTGACGGGCCTTCTGTTTCTTATACCTGTCACCTCCAAAACAGCGGCCAAAGGCAGCTAGCCTTCCCTTCCCTGGAGCTTAGGTTCCGGGTGGGTCATCAGTTCTGAAGGTGAGCAAGGTGGTGCCAATCCTGGCACGCAGGTGGGATCTAGGTGCCTTCCCAGGACTTGGGAGGACTTTCCCATCAGCCGGTTGTGGACAGAGGCTTCCCCAAGTGACACCCTCCTCACAAGCTCTGAATTTAGTCCCTTCTTGGAGTTCCCCGGAACTGGAAAGTTAATACAGTCGTGGGGTGGGGGGTGGGGGGAGCTGAAGCCCAGAATCTCTGTGTTGTCCGGTGAGCTGCTTCTGCTTCTTACATCCCAGGGGTCCCAGGAACCCGGGACTAACTGGCATCAGGCTTCGCAGACCTTGTTTGTACCTTCACTTCCCCCGCTTTGGGGAATTGACATAGGATTCTGCCTTCCCTGTCATTCTGACCCTTTGTCCTTTTAAAGAGTCTCACTGTATTCTTCATTCAGAAGAAGTCAGGTCAGATCAGAGACTGGGGGGGGGGGGTCAATCGGAATTTCCCAGGCTATTCTTTCGCTGTTGCCTGGCTGCGGCCGTACCCGGTTGTTTCCTCTGGTTTCTAATTGCTCGAGTGTCCTGGTTCCCTGTTGGCTTTAATAACTACTGTAGCATGATAGATCTCGGATAAGCTGCAGATGATCCTGAAAGTTTTAATTAGTCCGATGGCAGCAAGTTTCTCTCTTCTGAAGGGCAAGGCCATGCACAGCCCACAGTCAGAGTTAATGGCCAGCTCTAGAAGATGATCAGCTAGGAGCCAAGGATGTGTCATTTCCCTGCCAACTGCTGATTTGGTAAAGGCCTGGGAGAACAGAGCCCTCAGCATGCCTGTCTCCCTCCCTCAATCCCCCGGCACGTCTGCAAATTAGCCACCAGAGGAGTCTATACGTTTCCGTAAATGTAGTGTGCGAGGAATTCTGGTTATTTATCTGCTGGGGCTGGTTGGGAGGGCTGAAGTCAGGAGGAGCAGACCAGTATGCTCCCAGTTTACCTTAGAGAAGCTTTCCTGGGCTCCTTTTTGGCCACAACCAAGACGTGGTGTGAAGTACTGGCTGGGAGATAGCCCTGGGTCCAGTCCTGTGCCTGTGCCCCCCCTGGCTGGCCTGTGACTGCGAGCAGGGGTCTTCACCTCCACCATCTCCCTTTGTAGGGACTCAGGCCTCAGGTTTTCATGAGAGCAGGAGAGATGGCACGTAAGGGCTGAGCCCAGCCCCTGATACTGGGTTATGTGGGCGTCTGATTGTTACCCGCTCCTTTCTGCCTGCCAGAAGTACTCTGCAGCAGGCCAGACGGTTGGGCAGTGACTCCGGCGTTTAAAGTCTTGGGAGTGGTTCTCATCCTGCTTGCTGATGAGCGTCTGTTGCTCTTCCCACACAGGAAGGGGCCCTGGTCAGAACCCGCCCGATGGTCTGGGCCCTTCAGCCCGGGCTGGGGAGGAGATGGCGGGCTGCCTGCGCGTCTTCAGCCTGACCTCCTCTGGGTTCCCCTTTCTTCAGTCCCCCTGGGATAGACAGAAGTGGTTTTGTGTTGTTTTATACACTTTAAGTTTGAGCAATGAATTTTAAAGAGCTTTTTGTGAATTATCCCCAGAATGCTCTCCTTGCCCCTGCTGCTCTGCCTGATCTATGGGAATGTGTGTCCTTCTCGTGGCTATTCCACGGTGGTGTAGCCCTGGACTGCTCCCATGTGCTCCCCACCTTCACAGTCTCTCTTCAGCTTCCCAGCAAACCTTCTTAAGTCGCAAGACACCTATCATCTCTGTCTTGTTGATGAGTAAACTGAGAATCCGGGAGTCTGTGAATGAGCTGAGGTCTTGCAAATTCTGACTCCCAGCCTGGTTTCTTTTCCCATCCTCCCTAGCTGGAAACCTTCATCTGGCCAACGTGAGAACAGGGAAACCGGTCAGTCCTTTGAGCAAGGCTTCATTCAGCCACCTTCCTTGTCTGTGGAAGAGGGGAAAGAGAGTTCTTCTTTTGTCATTCATGTATTTAAAAAAAAATTATACTTATTTATTTGCGAGAGCAAAGAGGGAGAGAGAGAGCATGAGCAGGGGAGAGGGGCTGATGGAGAGGGAGAAACAGATTCCCCACTGAGCTGGAACCCCAACGTGGGGCTCGATCCCAGGACCCCAGGATCATGACCTGAGCTGAAGGCAGACGCTTAACCTACTGAGCCACCCAGGTGCCCCCATGTATTCGTTTCATAGTTGATATGTATTTTAATGAAAGGAATACATGCCCATATCGAACAAAGTTGAATAGTATCAGAAAGCGTATAACGAAATACAGTTCTCTGGTGTGCGTACCCCTCCCCAGAGGCAACCGCTTTCTGCTGCTGTGTACTTCCACATTTGTAAATAATATGCTTCGACTGCTTTTTCTTGGTTCATCAGTTTTAAACTTCCATCTATTGAGACTTCTTATTCTGGTAGATGAGGCTTTTGTCTCTGCCCTCCCCCCGCCCCCCCCCCCACTTCCTATGTGGCTTCTGAAAGGGGAGCAGAACCCGCTGCGGTATCTGCCAGATGTGAGGGAACCGTGCGCTGTGTGCCGGCAGCGGAGTTAGGAGAATCAGCAAGCCAGCCTGTGATTTCTCACACAGTTGGCACAATGGTAATTTCTGGATGTTGTGTTTCATTAGCAGCCTCCGAGCGGAGGTGGTTTAAATTTGAGCGGGGAGGATTTAGATGTTTTATTTTTATATCTGTCTCTGGCACTCTGAGAGCCATGTGGTTTCTTGGGTTTGTAACAAGATGTTTTGTGTTGCCCAGGCCCTGGGCTCCCCATTAGCCCCAGTCCATGTCCCTCCCGGGGGCCTGGCTCCCTTGAGAGGCCTTGTGGATGCCCCCGCCTCCGCTCTTCGTGGATCGCAAAACCTGAGCTTGGGGAGCTCGGCAGAGTCTGGTCAGCTCGGAGAACTCACGCTGGTAAATGGTTTCTCTCACGTTCAGTCTATCTAGTGGCCCTGAGGTCTCTGTGTGCCTCGCTAGGAACGGTGGCCCCTAGATAAGAAAGAAGGCATAGGCTGAGTCCTCAGAGTTCATGGGCAAACTGGGAAGCTGGGAAAATAAATCACGCTTGTGTGATGCTAGATGTGTAGTCTGAGCTCCAGAGGGTAGACCCATGGCAGGGAAGGGGGTGGTGGGGGTGTTGGGAGGGGACTGCAGCGCTGATTTCCCAGTCCTTACAGCTGGGGCATTGGGAGTCAGGAAGGGATCCGTGTGACCTGGGATCATTTCCCGGGCATGGCAGACTTGTGGTGTGAGACCTCCAAAGAGAGTGGGAAGAGCATTCTGCAGGTCCTTAACGTGCCCCTTGACTTTCCTTCTCTACTTTGGAGCCTTCACAGGGTCTCAAGACTTCTGCTTATACGAAGGGTCTCTTGGGCTCCATCCATGAGGACAAGAATGCTCTCAGCCTCTTGGCTTTAGGGGAGGAGACCAATGCAGAGGATGAGGTGGAGAGCGACAACCAGGTAACGACGAACCCTCCTCCTGCCTTGGAAACCCTGCATGCTGTTGAACAAGGAGTTTATTTTATTGTGGGCAACTACGTACCACGTGCAAGTTACTATTGTAACCACTTGGAAGCGTGCAGTTCAGTGGCATTAACTACTTTACAGTGTTAGACGGTCATTACCACTTTCTGTCTCCAGAACTTGCTCACAATTCCAAACAGAAACTCTGTGCCCATTAAGTTAATAGTAACTTCCCCAACCCCTTCTCTCCCCTTTCGTCTCTTCTGTTCTGTGTTCTATCTTTGAATTTGCCTCTTCTGGATATTTCATATAAGTGGACTCCTACAATGTTGGCCATTTTCTGTCTGCCTTCTTTTACGTAGCCTGTTTTCAGGGGTCATCGTGAATAGCATGTGTGGCTGACTAGACCACATTTTGTCCAGCCATCCATCTGTTGACGGACACTTGGACTGTTTCCACCTTTTGGCCAACTCTATGCTCCTTTAAAAATAAGTAAGATGATTTTCCAGCCCACAGCTTCATTTCTTGCCCAATCTATAACTTTGTGGGCCCGACCCAGATAGCGTAACCAACAAGGTGCTTCTTGGCCCCCTCACCCCCGGCTGACCTGTTTCCTTGACTTACCACTTGTAATCGTGTTTGTTTTCAGAGTGTTCGCAGTTCAAGTGAGCTTTTTAAGAACCTGCACCTGGACATTGGGGCGCTGGGGGGTGACTTTGAGTATGAGGTAAGAGTCTGAGACCCAGCAGGCAAATGATTCAGCCTGGTCTGTCCCTCCTTCCTTCCTAAGCTTTTCTGCTTGGGGGTTGTGGATTTGGAAAGAGAACTGTTTTGTCCCAGTGCTGTCTAGATGGGCTTTCTGTGGTTTGGGGAAGCACAAAGAAGAATAGGACTCCATCCTTCCGCTCGTTTGCTGGATAACCACCAGTGGTTGAGTGTTGTCATGTGGGCCACTTTGCTGGGGGCTGTCAGTCGTGCAAGCCTAAGTTAGGTGGGATTACTGCCCCCTAAGGGTTCGTGGCCTCACAGAAAGAGGGGCTTCTTTTCCCAGAAGACAGGGTAGAAGGCAGTGAGACTGTGAGGGAGGTGAGACGGGGCATCATGGGAAGGAGAATCTGGGGTCTCCAAGCTGCATGGATCAACCAGGCAGGGCTCTGTTGAGAAATTGCCATGTGAGGTGAGCCAGGAAGGACGGTGGGCAGGACTGGGCGGGCAGGGGTGAGTGGGGAGAGAGAAGCCCACATGCAGGGCCTTGCACAGACAGAGGCAGAGGGTGGAGGGTGAGGCTGTCCCCTTTGCCTGGAGCACAGACAGCGCCTATGGGAGACGAGTGGGAGATGGTCTGTGGAGGTAGCTTGGGCTGCTTCACGGAGGCCCTGAGTGCCAGCAAAGGAGTTTGCTTTGGGGTACGCAGGCACTGGGGGCCAGGGGTGGGCTTTGAACAGAGGTGTGACAGCCAGAGTCTTAGCAGTTGTCGAATGTTGGCTGCTGCGCTAGGCCCCGTGGAGATACAGAGGTTGGAAAGATGGGTTGGGCTGGCCTCATGGAGTTTGCAGCTGGAGAGAGAGGAAGGACAGAAGGTCTTTGGCGTTTAGTGAGTGCTCGCTGTGGAGTAAAACGCCCATCTAGCAGGGCAGCTTGGGCGAAGAGCTCCAGCTGGCACAGGTGCCTGGCCTAGAGGAGCTCTGAGCGGGGAGGATATGACTTGCCTGGAGATCAGGAAAAGCTTGAAAGAGTTGACATTTGACCTTGCTCTTAAAGAGTAGGTAAGTTCCAGACGTGGGGGTGTAAGGGTTATTTTAGGCAAGCAAACAGCTTGAGCAAAGGCGAGGGGCCTGGGAAGTGTGGACTGCGGTGGGGAATAGCTTCCAGAGTCTTCCCACAGTACTCCTGTCACTTCTGATCTCCGTCCCCCGGTCTGTCCTCCCATTGCCACCGGAATGTTCTTGAAAACAAACCAAACCCAAGACTCATCATGGTGTTGTAATAATCTGCAAACCCCCAGTGTGGTTTTCTGCTTGAAAAGGAACATTCCCTATCGTATGCCGTTTCTCTAATGTCCGATTTACTAGTTCTTAGCAGTTAGGATTTCTCTCAGTATTCCTGTGGTGTTCATACACCCAGTAGTAAATCATGATGTCAGGGACTCCGATTTCCCCAAACTTTTAAATATTGATTGCAAGCTGAATTAAATTTTTCGTAAGTCTAATATATAAAATTCTTTCACACACTTGCAGCACTTTCAAATGAAACCAGTCACTCACCTTTCATTAGAATGATCCCAAAGCTAGCCAGGAAAACAATAGTGCCTATATTGTGGTTTTAAGTTTGTTTCCTTAATATCTCTTAACTGTGTTCTTATTATCCCTTACCATGCTCTTATTGTTTCTGACTTCTTGGTTTTCAGCTCACGTCAACAGCCAGGGCTCCCATCTCAGCGGGCGGGGGTCGCGGGTGCTGGCACACAGGACTGGGGTTGTAGCTGGGCCTTCTTGGATGGTCCAGCTCTAGGCACTGGGCAGTCTCCATTTTATAGTACTGCTTCTTCCCAGAAGCATGTCCCCATCTTTACCCCAGAAATTGTCCACGTTTTGGGCGGTGCCCAATTAGATACCTTTTCTTGTGACTTTAACACTTCGCGTGAAATGTGATGTTGTGTTCCCCAGCGTCCCATCTTTATCATCAACCTGGTTTGTGTCCACTTTGAAACTTCCTTGTGCGCGGGGCCTGGTCTCTTTGGAAAGCCTTCCGTGTGTTTGGTTCCCTGAAACGACAACTTTGTTTCTTCCCATCGACCATTAAGACCTTATCCTGCCGATGTAATCAGTAGCTCAGGTTTGTAGCTGAGAAGGATGACCATGAACGGGAATGGGGCATCAAGAGGGCTTAAGTGGCTCTCGGAGAGAGGAGAAAGTCTCCCCAGGACACTGAGCAGATTGGGAGTAGAGATTTATGTGTATATGGCCAACATTGGCCTGTGCCTGGAGCATAGGAAGGATGTAGGTATGTTTTGCTAAGCGGCTGGGAGAATGAAGGAAAGTGAGCCCCTCTGGGACAAGGAGGGAATCCCCACAGGTTGTGTTTTGCTGTTTCTTTCCCTCTGCTGTTCCAGACCCTGGGTAGAATGGATGCTTGGTCCCTGCTGTCAGCCGACCAGTTGAAGATCCCACTGTGGATCAAACAGGATGCACTTTGACTTTGAACTTGTTAATTTTCACTTCATAATGGATTACAAATGTCAGCAAAAAAGGGATCTTCTTTGACATGTCCTGGATTTCCAAAAGCTTCCCTTCTGATGATTCTGTGTTTCTTTGGGGGAGTGGGAGCTTTTAAACATATTTTTTTTTATGACCTTTTTAGTATAAATAGACAACCCATTGTGATGGGGGAAATGTCTGGAGTCGAAGGTGTTAAATACACCTCTGACCCCTGTCTCTAGGATCCCAGCAGATCTCATTCTTTTTGCCATGGGGAGTGTTGGGTTCCTGTGTTTGAACCCCAGGTAGGAACCCGGATGGCTTTTCCTGGTGTAGGAATGAATGGGGCTTTCAGGATAGACAAAGCTGCCTCTGCTTGGACCGCACCCTTTGCAAATGGCTTTTGTCCATGTTTATAGAGCTTGGGTCCTCTGAGTGGCCCGTTTCTTCCTGCTCCTGGGCATCCTGGGCAGTTCTAGATGAGGGCTCCTGCCCTAGTGGGTTCTGCCCTGTCCCTGTGCTATCCACAGTCACTTTGCTCATGATTCCATGAGAGGGCAGTAGGATGGCAAGAATGCCTCTCTCTTTCCCTCCTCCCTTCCCGCTCCCCTCCTCTCTCCTGCCTTCAGTGTAAACCCATTTCTTGATGATTACAGAACCAAAGGGGATAGGTTCACGGACCAGACACTGAGAATGGGTGTGAGTGAGGAGGGAAGGGAGCGGGTGGGTGAGCAGGCAGCGTGTGGCCTGGTGGCGCTGTCCTGTTGAGAACCCATCCTGGGATCAAAGGAGAAGGAGGGAGCTGGGCTTAGAAATCACAGGATGATGTCAGCGTGATTGGGAAGCGCTAACAACATGGGGTGGGGGGTGGCAGCGCAAAGAATTGAGACCAACTGGGTGGGAAGGAGACTTGGCAAAGAACCTGACCGATGGTTAGCTTGGGGGTTCCGCTCTCCTGTCCTCCACTCTCTTCCCCCACCAAGCCTGCCTTTGTGCTCTGGGAAGGAGGGCACTGCGGTGTTGGAGATCTTATAGCTTTTGGGGGTATGTTAAATATTCATGCGATGCTCTTACGGGGACTCACAGGCACCGCCTTCCTCATGCAGATGACAAGGTTGTTTTTTAAAAAGGCGGAGATACTTGCCTAGAGATGCTCAGGGGCCTGCGGCTGTGACAGGAGAAGACAGGAGGAGTCTGAGCACAGATGAGCTGGGGAGCAAAGGGTGCCGCGGGGGCAGCCCTGCCCTGCGTCCCCCTCCCCCCCGTTTCTCCCCAACACCAAAGCCGGAGCCCGCACACCGGGGCCTGGAGTGTGCATCCTGGGCAGGCCTGGCTTGCGCTGAGCCGAGTCGGGGGAGAGGGGTCTGGAGTCGGATGTATTTTCCCCGGTACCCTCAGTTGTGTGTTGGCATCGTGGCTCATCTTCAACGACCTCTGATCTCCCTCTGCCATCCAGACCCACTGGACCTACCTCCAGCTGCCGACTTGTTGCACTTAGTTGACACGGGCTCAGAGAACACAAACTCCTTTACATAGTAGCCACGTTTTCATATCTTAACATTTAGGTAGACAGAACAGAATAAAGTCCATCATGGGAAAATCTTCTTTTGAAGACTTTAAGCTTGAGAATGGCACAGATCGGCTTACTGTTCTTGTCACCTGACCGCGTTCTCTCATGCCTAAGAGTGGGAGTCTCTTCCTGCGCCTGATGTCCTCTGGTTTTTGAAAGGTTACATGCTTTTCCCTCATCTTGAATATTCACAGTTAACATTTGCTCAGCATTTTCCATTTCATAAGCACTGTGACGGGTAGAGGCTGACTCCTTTGTAACCTTGTGAAATGAACAGTTCATCACTATTTCACAGAGTGGGAGCTCCTTTATCTGCACGAGACATTCATTTTAAAAAGCTCAGCCAACAGATATTTGCTGAGCACTTAGTATGTGCCAGAAACTAGGCACTGAGGGTGGCCGGGAGCTGATCTGGTGAGGGATGCAGAGAGAAAGTTAGCAGGGATGTTAGAGTAGCTGTGGTGACCGGCCACGAACCTCATCTCAGGACGGCTCTCCCGGGGATCAAGGAGGCCTTCCTGGAAGATGTGGTACTGTGAGGGCCAGAGGGAGTTTGTCTAGGTAGATCGTGTGTGTTTGTGTGTGTGTGTGTATGTGTGTGTGTGTGTGTTAAGAATGTGCATGGCATCTCAGGAGCAAGGGGGAGTCTGTGCCTGGAGCTGGGCCCTGGCAGGTGGCTCTTGGGCACTGGGGGCCCCCTACCCCCCTGGAGAGGGTGCCTGAGGATGTAGGCGGTGATTTTGTGCTGTGCTGTGCGGTGTGTGTTGGTGGAAGAGGAGGCTGACTGGGGAACCCGGGCCCTCCTGGTCGCCCTCTGAGCTGCTTCTGGAGGCAGACCCTCGAGTGAGGCTGGAGGACTAATTTGGTGGGGCTCAGAGTGTGACTGTTGGCTAAATAAAGTGAAATAACCAACCTCAAGGGAAAAAAAAAATAAAAGAACATGCATGGCCAGGTAGCACGATGGCACAAGGTTCATCCGTCGGCCGGGCCAGGGGAATGCGTGCAGGCTGTGGCTGCCCGTGACCCTTGAGAAGCAGGCAGGGCTGGGCGAGAAAGGCTCTGGGCCATGTGAGGTGCTGTGGACTCTAGCTTGTAGGCCGTGGGTGTGGCATCTGACCCTCCCCTGTGCTCATGTCATGAGATGAGCGTGGCCAGGGTGGTTTGGGTCTGCCAGACACCCCTCAATCACCCTGACAAACTCCCACCCCTTGGAGGTCTGTGGAGCCCCTTGGGCTGGGGGCTGCCCTCCAGCCGTGTGGTGGCCACTGTCTCGGGGCTTGCGGTGAGCAGGCCTGGCCTCCCCTTGCTCCTGAGGAGGAGGGGCTCACCTCCCCGCTTTCTCTGGGATCACAGCAGATTGCTTGCGAAGCCCTAGGCTACGGATGTGGCAAGGATGGGCAGTACTGGAGGGTACCCTGCCTTCGAGCTGCCAAGGCATGAGGGAAGCCTCCCCTTCTCTCTTTCACCTTCTGCTTTTCTCCCTGGGACAGGCCTGGGGCCGAGGACAGTATCAGCACTGTGTCCAGTGCCCTTTGCTTTGGGCAGCAAAGACTCATGACCTGGGGCATGTCACGCTCCTCCATACTGGGAGCAAGATCTATGTCTTGTTCGTGTAGGTGTCCCCAGAGCAGTGCTTGGCACACAGAAGGCACCTGGGGAGTGACCATGTGTGTCTCACAGGAAAACATTAGTGGAACATGTGTGGGACTCTCAGGGTCTGTCGGGCACGGGCTTGGTTCTTTAGCTCACTTGGTGAGTGTTAACTCACTGAATCTTCCCCCAGACAGTGAGGTATGTCCTCCTGTGTCCCCATATTTTAGAGAAAGACACTGAGGCACAGAGAAGTTAAATAATGGGCCTCAGGTCCCTGTAAGGGTCGGGTGAGGATTTGAACCTAAGTCGTGTGTCTGAGTGTCTCTGAAGCTCACCTCTGAACTGCTGAGCTCCCCTCCCTCTCCTGACCGCCCTTGGACGGTTCTGGGAGGCTGGTCAGTAGGCGGGTGGGCGTGTCAGTAGATCTTTTAACAGGCAGCTTGGAGGAATGCCATGTTCCAGGCTTCTGCGGGGACCTCTGGACTCCAGTCACCAGGCTCCTTCTGTGAGTCCCCAGGCTGAGGAATCTGGAAGCGTCACGTGTCCCTGCTCAGAAGTTGTTCACACCAGCATCCCAAGCAATGTGTTCTCGGAGGAAGGCTTCTCGGAGCCCGGGAGAGCACTCGCCGTATTTCGAGGAAGGGGTTTCTTTTGTTACTTTGGCCGGCTTTCAGTGTTCTTCCTGAACTTTCACTCATTTCAGAGTGAGGTTTGTGGTGAGAGGCAGGGTGCGGCAGCTGGACAGGGGCTCTAAGTGAGAGACCGTGCTGAGGGGGACCTCCGCGATGTCAGCCTCAAGCTACGGCATCTCTGATCTGGCTGGGCTCATGCCAAGGCTGTGCTTGTCCGCAGAGAACACCAGGCCCTAGAGCAGGACCGTCCCTGGCAGATGTGGGACTCTGCGTTGTAGGCCAAGACTTTCTCAGAACCGGGCGGAGGCCCGAGGCGCTGCGGGTTTCAGCCGCCCCCTCCCCGCTCCCGCACCCCAGGTCAGACCTGCGTTCTGAAGGCCTCCCAACCCCTTTATCCTTCAGAGCCATTTCCCCCAGGAAATCTTGTCTTGGCTTCTGCTCCTCAGAAGCAGATAGGGTGGCGTGTGCGGAAGAGGCTTTTGGGGGAGAGCCACCCTCATCACACCGATGAGCTATTTTCCCTGCTGCCTTTTAAAAGGGAAAAAAAAAATTTTGGCATTGGTACTTTTATGTGATTTTTCTATCATCATCGTAAGTACATACTGACTTTCTAAAAAGTAAATACTGACTTCTGAGTCTGCAGTCCTATGGTTTGGCTACTGGGGCTGGAATGAGACATTTCTTCCTTGAGAACCTAGTAGGCGGTGATGGAGTTCAGTGCACTGGTTTCCACGCCTGTCCCTGGACGAGGCCAGTTGGGTGTCTGTAAATCACCACGGATGTTTAGATTCCGCAGATCTGGAGTGGAACAAGGAGTCTGGGTTTTAAATAGCTGTTGGGGTGTTGGATAACCACCGGGGTCAGAACTGGAGCACTGACCCGTTCGAGTCGAGGAATGATAGTTCCATCTTGTTGCAAGTCTCTAAAATCATTTTATTAATTCTTGACGCCTCCTTGTCTGACATGGTCTGCTGCTGCCTAGGAGTGTCCGAGAACAAGCCAGCCAGAGGAGAGGAAGGACGCTTCTCTGTATTCTGATGCTGCCGGGCCCCCCACTCCCGGCAAGCTCGTCAGCCAGGGAGCAGATGGCGGTCTGAGCAGCGCTGATGGCAGAGAGCAGCAGGGAAGAGGGGCGAGTGCTCGGCTCCCGGCAAAAGGAACGGATGAGAAGAGTGATCCTGGGATGTCCGGGATTGAGGTGGACCCTGGGGGCGGTCAGCCTGCCCAAGCCACCAAAAAGGAGGCACCAGAAGACTCATTGGATGCAGGAGAAGAGGGCTCCAGGAGGGGAGAGGCCCAGGTGGTGGAGGAGAAGGAGCCCAAGGAGGAGACTTCGGTCCCCAAAGAGAGCAGATCAGACCGGAGCCAGGTGAGTCCCCCTGTGCCCTGGGGAGTTGCCGCTCCCTCCCTCTGCTGCTCTCTTAAGTCCCTGTGCAGATCGGGGTCCCCAACATCTTCATTACCTACTTGGAGGAGGAGTCTGGAGCTTAGCTTCGTTTGCAGGCCCTGCAGTGGGCTGTCACCAGCAGCTGGCCAGAACCCTTCATGGTAACAGATCTGCCCAGACCCAGCAGGCAGCCAGAGCCTGAATGAAACTCCAAACCTGCTGGCCTTAGAAATTCAGGATAGAAATTTGTCTTTCCATTGGCACCCTCCTGGGACATTCCTGTTCTTCTGTAGTACCTTTCTCTTCCTGCCTGCCCCCTCTTACTTCTTGACAGCAGCCGGTTGCTGTAGTCTGTTTCTGTAGAGAGGGGAGGACACGGAGACGGTGGGACCATGGGGAGTACTTGGCCCCAGCAGCGGTCAGTTAGGTTACCAGAAGACTCCTCTCACTGATGGCGTGGGAGTCTTGCTTTGGCAAGACCGGGCCAATGACCCAGATGCCCACAAGTATTTCCCAGTGCCTTTGGCATTTTCAGTTTTCCATCCCGTAGTCCTGCTCCTTTCCCAGGTAGATGGTGAGGGAGTTCATTTAAGGAGCTTTAAGCTGCTTCCTGGGAAAGATACTCTCATTCTGTTTTTTAGGACAGCATGAACCTTCCCTACTGTCAACTTCTAACTGTCTCCATGCCACTTTTCCAGGCTCTCCTTACATGCATAAATCCTTGTTGACCTGAGTCACAGTGTGGGCTCAACTGGGCTGTTCAGCCCCAGTGAGGTGGGGCTGGTGCCCGTGTCCAGAAGGAAGGGGAGGGTCCACAGCCCTCTTTCAGGTTTTCTGGAAGAAGTGGATTTTGGTGAGAGCTTCACCCTGTGTTGGCACCATGGCCTGAGCGGAATTCCCTGGGTGGTCATCCCTCTCCGTGCTGTGCCCTGGGCAACTTCTCAGGGGGTCTTTTCCCCAGGATTCGGACATTAGTGAACACGTGAAAGAGCTGCAGCTCTCGGACTCTACTGCGTCTGACCCCAAGTCCTTCCCAGGCCTGGTGAGTCTGAGGTGGGGGGCAGCAGAGTGGGGTGAAGGGTGGGGGTCTATGTGTCCCTGTGGCTCATTTGCTTGGCACCACACAGCTTGAGAGGGGGATGTCAGAATTCAGACTTGGGTCTTGTCTCAACTTTGGTTTCTCTGCCCATCTGCTAAGAGTAACACTACTGATTCCATAGGTTTGTTGGGAGAAGAAAGTGAGGTAAAACGTTAGCAAATAAATGTTAGGTAACTGTGAGCAGTTGTTACCCTTTCTTGTTTCTGCAGTGTGACTGGTCTGGGAGATATGTGATCTAGAGCCTCTGGCCTGTAGCAGAAATACTACACAAATCTAGGGGGTTAGAGGGGTGTGTGTGTGTGTTTATGGGATCACCAGGTTGTGTGTGTGTGTGTGTGTGTGTGTGTGTGTGTGTGTGTGTATGGGATCACTAAATGTGTTTGTGTGTGTGTGTGTTTATGGGATCACCAAGAGATATGTGATCTAGAGCCTCTGGCCTGTAGCAGAAATACTACACGAATCTAGGGGGTTAGAGGTGTGTGTGTGTGTGTGTGTGTGTGTGTGTGTGTGTGTGTGTGTGTGTGTGTTTGTTTATGGGATCACCAAGCAATGGCGAGGACCAGTCCTCAGGCTGTATCTGGGAGGGATGCTGGGGTTACGTTTCCAAAGAGGAGACATTGTCCTGGAATGTCAGCAGTGGATGGATGGTTGCTCTGTCCCAGGCCTTCCAGCCAGCCTGCTGTCTCCTGGCTTCATTTGCCAGGCCTGTATCTATGGGGAGTAGTTGAGGGTGCTTTTTGGCAGAACATCACCTCTGGAAACCATGCTCCATCTGTTTGGAGGAGGCAGATCAAAGGGAAGGGATTAGCGGGAGAGGGTCAGGGATGAGTGGTAATGATGGGAGGGGGTGCGGAGGAGTTAGGCGGCTGTGTGCTCTAGCCCCTCGCTGAGCCATGGGCTTAGGAGGCAGATGGCAGCTGCATTAAGTGGAGTAGAACTCAAACCGAAAGGAAAATGTCACCAAAAAAGAAAACACACAATCTAGGAGGGGCAGGTTTTTGTTGACAAAAACCATCATGAAGAATAGCCAGGTTTTAGGACTCTTGGAAGCAAGGGCTCCATCCCTCCTGCGGGAGTCCCCGTGTGCAGAAGTATGCCTGTCAGTGTTTTTCTTCTCTGAGGGAGTGGGTGGAGGAAGCCACAGGATAGCAGGACCAGACCTCTAGGCCTGGGCCTCCTGCCATCGTCAGGGCTGATGACAGAACTGTCCCTATTAGCACGCTGTCAGGTAGCAGTCCTTCACTTAGCCCAGCAGGCGTCTTGGGCTCGGAGGGGGCAGGATCAGGGTCCTGTGGCAGCCAGAGAACAGCAGGGAACTGGCACTGGTGTGGGCACTTGCTATCTGTCCCAAAGAGAAGCCTGCCTAGGGAGCACCACTAATCAGTCCCCATAGTCCAGAGGGGCCCCGGAGAAGGGGAAAAGGGCTAGCGATGAACAGCCCACCGTGCCTCATTTCTAAGCTGCCCGCAGGTCTGCTGGACCCATTGGCCTCCCTGCTGGCACCCTGTTTGGGCACCAGGAGGGCAAGACAGCTGGAAAGTGACATGCTTGCGGTACGAGTCCTGCAGAGAGCTTGGGCTTGGGAGTCAGCCCAGGGAACATCTGACCCACCAGCCCCATTGCTAATGAGCTGTGTGACCTCGGGCGAATTCCATGTGCTCGCAGACCTGCTTCCCTGTCCGTGAGAGGCCTTAAGAGTATCAGTTTCACGGGCTTATTTTTCCCCCATGGTTTTATTATGAAAAATTTCAGACATACAGAAAAACTAAAAGGATTTTCAAGTGAATGCATACATCCTTACCCCCAGAGTCTATATGAACATTACACCTGCCGTATCACGTATCTTTCTAGACTCCTCGCAGTTATTTTGAAGATGAGAATAAGCAGTAGATGTGGCACTGTTTCACATGGTTCCTGGCCTGCATTAGGCCCCTTTCTGGAAGGTGGGGAGGTGGAGGAGAGGCCCAGGGGGATGCTGTGACGGGGGTAGCGTTGACTTCCCCCTCCACTGTCTCTAGGACTTTGGTTTTCGCGGCCGGATCTCGGCGCACCTGCTGGATGTCAACGTGCTTTCCCCAGTCCTGGATGGAGCCCACTGGGAGGTGAGTCTCTCTGGGTGACAGATAAGCCCCAGCCAAGCTCTGCCCATCTGAGGGTGCATTTCCGGGAGCTCCCTCCCTTCTGATTCAATAAGGGATGGCCCTGACTGTGCCTGCGATGGGCTGTCAATCATTTCTGCTCTTTGCTGCCATGAATGAAGTCATCCTTTCTCCCCGCCCTGCAGTGTACATCTATGTGTTTATCCATTTTTCTAGCAACTGAGGGATGACCACTTGCTCATGTGCAAAGCACTGTAGACTGTGGATTCCAGGCCACTTCCTGACCTGGCCCTTTCAGCCCCTGCAGGCTCCCCCTCGGCCCACCTGCCACGCGCCAGCCGTGCCCACCACTCACTGTTCCCGGGGCGCACCACCCGCCTCCTTCACTGCGCCACCTGCCGTGCTGCTTCCCCATTTGTCCCTTCCCAGAGGTGGTCGTGGAGGTCCACTTCTGATGTCACCTCCTCCAGGCAGGATGAATCATTCTGTCCCTTTGCTCCCCGTAGTTCTACTTCTTCTCTTTTATGGTTCTTGGGTCTGTCTCCCTCCCAGACAGAAGCTCTGTGTGGGGACATCTGGCCCCCAGCGGGATACAAAGATGACTTAGACACAGATCCTGTCCTTAAGGAGCCTTGAAGCCAAGGAGGCCATCCTTTCGGACTCAGGGCTCAAGCCCCTCATTTTTATTACGGTTGCCCCACGTTGTTATCCGTTTTACATTTTAGTTGGTTACATAGATTGGCCTGTGTGGGTTTTCATTTTTCCCCTGAAAGTGAGAGAGGGAGCTGTCTGCTGAGCTCGGTGTGATTTGTAGGGGAGATGGTGGTGAGTTGAACACTGGAAGGGGCGAGGGGGTGGGGGGCCACCAGCTGCGGGCTCTGCCCAGGCTGACATTATAAGCAGTGGCAGCGCTGCAGGGAGCCCTCTGCTGCGGGAACTGGGAGGTACTCAGGCAGCATTTCTCTTTTTAATGGAATTTGGGGGAGCTGACTTTTAGTTCGGGCCCTACCCTTCCTCACCCGTCCGGATGGTAGTGTCGGCCCCAGCTGCCGGGGCTCCGGCTGCCAGCGGAGAGGCGTGGGCGGCTGTGGGGACAGGACTGGGGACATGGCCATGGGCCAGCCCGGTCGGAGCCCCGCAGGCAATGATGGAGTGAGTTGTCACCTGCCCTACCTCTCCTGTTAACTCTGCTGTCCCAGAACAGACGGGGCTCCCTTCAGCATGACAGAGGAGTGTGGGGTCTTGGATGGGGACTGGCCCTGCCAGCGCTAGGGTTTTGTGCCTTAGGGTGGGGAGAGGGGAGGAGCGGGAATGGGGAGCTGACATGTGGGGCCTGCCTTCTCTGGGCCAGGAGTCGGGCTTTATGCTCGTGAGCTGCTGTAATCCTCGCTGCCAGTCCTGTGAGCCGTGGAGTTACTGTCCCCTCTTTTAGTGGAGTAGACTGGGTCCCCGGCTAGGAAGTGGTGGAGTGAGAGCTCAAGTCCAGGCCGACGGTGCGGCCATCCCCGAGGCCCCACCCCTGCAGGAAATATTTGAACTTACCAGCAGTAGCCCTTTCACCAGCTTGCTAGATCAGCCTAGACACGCAAGCTTTAAAATGAGATGGGAGCAGGGGGCGCCTGGGTGGCTCAGTCCGTTAAGTGTTCGACTCTTGATTTCGGCTCATGATCTCAGGGTTGTGAGATCGAGCCCTGTGTTGGGCTCCGTGCTCCACGTGGCGTCTGCTTGACATTTTCCCCCTCTGCGCCCCCATCACCTCACTCCATGAGGTTTTGTTTTGTTTTGTTTTGTTTTTTATAGGTGGTATAATCAGTCCCTGACTGGGAAGGGGGGGCATCATTGGCTACTGATGGCACCTGGGTATCTCAGGGGGCCCGGAGTGAAGCAGTGGACTACCTTGTCTTCCTCCTTGGGGCTGCCCAAAAGGTATCCTTTCCGTCTGGAATGTAGTAGTGCCCTCTCCTTTCACCATGTCCCCATTTCTCCAGGGTCCCTCCTCTTCCACGTGCTTGGCTGCTGCCTCAGTGACCAATGCCCATCACGCAGCCTCCCTGTACATCACTGGCGCTGCACGTCTGGGCCTCTGTGGGTTTGAGGTGTTCATGGATGTCTCCGCTTTTTCTTTGCAGCTCTCAGTGAAGGCTTCCAATGACAGGAGGCAGGATTTTCTTTTTTATATGTTTTCTCCTTTAGCCTCTGGCTTCTGACTCTGCAGTCAGTGGCTGTGGCCTCTGGCTCTTCCTCCCTAGGCCAGCCAAGCCAGTCCTGGAAGTAGCTGTGAGCCTGGCGGCTTAGGCACAGCCCCCGGAGGGGCCATGATACAGCAGCCAGTCCTCCTCTTCTGGGTCCCAAGTGGTCATCCTTCTCAAGAGCCACCTCTTCGTACTTCCTCCTAGGCGCAGGAGTTGGCTGGAGAATTAAGGCACCCGAATGCCGACCTCTCCAATATATACTTGCCCCTGCTCCTTCCCTACAGGCCCAGAGGTTGGGAAGAGAAGACAAGGATGGCAGCCAGTCCAGCCAAGATGAGCAGCAGAGCAAGCCGTCCAGAGGCTTGGAGAGGTACAGTATGTGGGAGGCCGCCCTCTGGGATCTTCGGGATGGGGTGGACTTGGGCAGGATTCCTGGCTTTGGTGCTCCTGGCTCAGTGTGGTCCTGCCTGAAGGCAGACAGTGAGCTGACCTGATGGCCTCGCAGAGTCTGTATGTGCATGTGCACGTGTGTACACGAGCATACCCTTGGATTCTGCCCCGAGACAGGAATGTGGGTACATTTGGTGGGACTTTGTGCGGTGCTGTGGGCCGAGGCTGGAGGAACTGGCTTGGAGCTGTTGCCTTGCGTATCAGCAGTGGTTGTAGCCCACTGTGGGTGCTCACGTGCGAGGCAGACAAACGGGTACGGAGAGCAGAGAGACTGGGAGAGGGGGACAGAGCCTTCCAGCTTCTGAGGCCCGGGCTACTGTGAGAGGAGAGCCACCACTCTGGAAGAGGAAGTGGGCCAGTCATTCTGCTTTTTGAACCTTGAGGCTCTGTCAGCCTTCCCACAAGCTAAAAGCTCCAGCTTCCTGCATTTTCTGTCGTCTGACCTTTCTGTAGTCTGGCTTCTCTCTTTCACCCTGTTTTCTGCTCAGTTCTTCCATCCCTGTCCGGCTTCAGTGATGGTGAGCACTGGGAGTGGACACAGCCGTGAGAGGGCCCAGCTGTCACCCCGGGACAAGCAGATGCAATGCAGGGATCTGAGCGGGCTGACTCTGGTCCAGGCAAAGGGAGAGCTCAGCAGGGAGGTTCCCCTTCCTGCTTTTCTGGCTGCTTTACCCTCCGTGGCTCCCCATGGATGTAGGGCTGGGGCTGGAGCCCTGTCTGAGAAGAGGAATGGACCTAGGTCCACGTATCACACTCTCCAGTTCTCTCCCTACTCTCCCTGCAGGACTTACTCAGCTGCCCTGGCTGGTCTGACCAGGTTGTCTCCTCCACTGGTGCCTGGGAGGTGGCACCAGAGTCCCCTTCACAGCCAGGCCACCGAAGAAGGGCCTCTGCAGGCCTCTGAGGGGCAGCTCAACCAGGAGCAGGCAGAGGAGCCTGGGGACTCTGCAGGCAGCCCCGTCCTTCCCGGTTCCCTGCAGAGGTAAGGGGGAGCGGGAGGCCTTCCAGGCATGTAGTTGTGTGGATAGGGGCTGACAGCGACTGCTGGGGGAGCCTGGAGTGGTGGGGAGCTGGGGTGGGTTCGCAGGTTTCCACGAGTGCACAATGTGAGCTGGGGAATGAGGAAACCTGCTTCTTCCTAGTCCTTGTCTACAGCTAAAACTGGGGTGTACCAACCGATTGGGGAGCCTAGAAACTCTTGAACAATGGAGCATCTCTTGTGATCCAGCGGTCTTCCTGCCGGGGGCTGGGGCAGAGACTGTCTCCCACCTGGGCTGTGCCCCCCACTGGGGGGCATGTTTTCCCATCCCCACCTGCCCGTGCTCCCCATGCCCTTAGCAGTCATCCCACTTCTAGTCCTACAGCAAACCCAAGGAGAGCCCTGTCATGTGCCAGGCCCTTCGGGGAGGGAAGTGCAGAGTCCTGGGCCTCCCTGAGGCCAGCTGAGGGGACCTTCGTGCCCCAGCCCCGCCCAGAGCCTGGCTTGCCTTTGCTAGTCCTTCTGTTCCCGGTGAAAGCAAGAGGCTGGCGTCAGAGCTGGTTTGGAGCACGTTCAGTTGGGAGGAGTCCCCGGGAAAGCCGAGCCGCAGCAATGTTGGGTCCACAGACTACCTGCTGTGTGCAGAGCTTCTCCCCGGGCACCACAACCCTCCCGCAGCCCGCGTGGGTGCGTCTGCGGCCCTCTGTAAACAGCCAGAGGAGAGGCAGACCAGGGAGAGTGAGGCCCGAGACAGGGACACATAGCTGGGGCTGATTCCCTTGTCCTCATCAGGGCTCTCTGACCCTGAATGGGTACACCTGGAGCCTCTTGTCTTCCCACCAGCTATAACACAGTTGCTTCCTTATTGTCATCAAGGGAGGAGACCCCAAGCCCACCTGCCAACAATGAGAGAGGCAGGGAGCAGCTCTCCTGGGCCACGGAGCTGGGCCTTGAGCAGGAAGAGGCCAAGGAGCCTGAGGAGAAGGTGGCGGCCAGCCCTGCCCCACCAGTCTTCCCAGAGACGTAAGGGCCAGTGTTAACGTCTGTCCCTGTCCTCCCTTGTGTGTGCATTGCTTAAGTGCCCACCACCCCTGGGGGCCCTGCCGAGGGGGTGGGGTGAGGAAGACTGAGTGCGCCCTTTGTTGCGTGTGCTGCTTTGAGACCCCAGCCAGCCGTGAATGAAGGTGGACACGAGGGCTAGCGGAAACCTGGTAATCCCGTTTTCCACTCTCCAAAGCACTGTTTTTCGCTTTCTTAGCAACATTTTATTGAGGTATTTACCGAAAGTACATAAACCTGAACTGTACAAATCAACCCATGCTTACACACGGATCAGAGGTAGAACATTTCCGTCCCTCCAGAAGGTTTCCTCATGTCCCCTTCCTCCCCGTGCACCACCCCAGGTCCCCAGGCTTCTGGCTTTGGTCCGCTAGGTGCATCTCTCCAGTTCTCCGACTTGACGTAAATGGAATTATACCAAATCCAGTATATGCATTTTGGGCCTGGTCCAAAGCTCACCTCTGTTGTTCTACTCACACTTCTCAAACTTTGAGATCATTGAGCTTTCCTCCTCCTATTGTCTCCTTCCCCTCTACCCCTTCTACAGATGAGGAGACTGAGGCTTGCAGTGAAGGGATTTGCCCCACATCACCTCGTTGGTGGGTTGTATCACTAGGACGAGGCTCTGGTCACTGGAGCCCTAGACTTCCTACTCAGTGTGCAGCCGGTGGTCCTTTTCTCTGCGTGGAGAGGCAGGAGCCAGGGTTGTGCCATTTGTCACGTCTGTGAACCGAGTGCCACGAAAGGATTAGGAGTCCTTGGGATGGGGGCCGATGTTGAGTAGAGACAGGTTGGTGCCCTACTCCCAGCTGGCAGGGCGCGTGAGCTCCTGACTCTTGTCCTCACCACCGCACTGCGGTGATGCAGGGAAGGGGCAGCCCCGTGGCTCAGGTGGTGACAGCTCTGACACCGAGGAATGACATGGCCTTCCCAAGTCTCCTTGGCAGCCGTGGACAGTGGGTCAGGGTGCTTTCTCTGAGGACAGGAGGCAGTCGTGTTTCGGAGACTGGACTTAGGCCCCGTAACCTCCTCATTACTCATCTTCACAGCTCCATTTCTGTGTGTCGTGAGGAGTAGCTCTGTGTCTGGGTCTCATTTTTACCCATGGGATTTTAATTTATGGAGGTGACTGAGTGACCACACAGGCCACTGCCATTAAGGAAGAATTTATTACTTACATTTCCAGAGAGAGGAGGGCATGCCATGCCGTGCTAGGCCACATGGGGAAGGAGCAGGGTATGCCAGGAGGCAGAAGAGGCGAGAAGGGAGACCATGGCCCAGAGCCCTTATTGGGGTTTCCATGGGAAGGAATGGGCGAGTCAGGGTAAGTATCTTGAGTGAGTGTGGGATTGGATAGTTTGACTACGTAGGGCGGGATTTCGGCTATGGGGGAGGCCCTCCAGTTGCTTGGTACCCGGCTGGCCCCTGCATGATTTGGTGTGAGTTCTGGAAGGAGGTGCTTATGGTGTGGGCTCCCTGGGGGATTGGTTGGTTTGAAAGACATGTTCCTGGCTGTCAGTAAGAGCTGGCTAGTCCCGGGACCCGAAGTCTCTCCTCTATCAGCAAACTTCCACAGATGTCAGTACATCGTAAAATAACAAAAAAAGAAAAACCATGATTCCTTGAATCCATTGCCTTTCACAGATGTTGTCAAGCTGGATCAGAAGCAGTTAGGGGCAGAGGGGCCAGCAAGCGGCTGCCCCTGTGTGCACTCTGTGGCCTGAAGACCTGGGTCCCAGAGTCAGGGATTTGGTGATCCCAGCACCTTTCATGACGTGTTTGTAGAAAGCGGGTAAATGAGTTCAGACCACTGGGCCAAACGTGAAAGGGCATGGGATCTCTTTGGTTGCAATTTTAGTGGCCGTGCAGCCAGTTTAGAATGTCCCGGGCGCCACCACGTCCTCCCTCTGCAGCGCCTGCCCTCCCTGCTGGTCGCCTTCCTTGGTGGCCAGCCTGAAATGATGATGCCCCTGCGGGGTGTCCTCTTGGCTGCTGACTGTTGGAAACTGGGTCTCTGATGCTGACACCTGAGGAGTGGCCTCGAAATCAGACCCGCCTCTTCCTCTGAGGCTTCGTCTTCTCTGTTGTCTCCTCAATCATCTGGACCATTGCTGACGGCCTTGGACCTCAGTGGGACATTGGGGACACTAGAGTTCTCAAACGGGGACACAGGGAAGAGCCTGCTGGAAGCCAGCCCTTCTTGCCCGCGTGCCAGCTTGCAGGGACGCTCACCCGTGCGCGTCGCCGGGCCTCAGTTTGCCACGCCGTCTGAGGCCCCATATTTCCGCAGCATCTGTCCCTCGGGCCCCACGTAGCTCCGCAGCCCACGGGGGAGAGAGACATTCAGAGGTACCATCTCAGGGAAAAAAGATGTTTTCAGCCAAGGCTGGAAATGAGTTGGAGGGTTGATGAGGCGGAGAGCTGCGGGGAGAGGCTTTCTCTCGGAGAGCAGGACTCTCAGAGGAGGTGGCGGCCACGTCTCTTACATCCGCATCTGTTGGTCTGTGTCAGGGGACCTGGAGGAGAGCCGGCAACGGGAAGCAGGGCGGAGGTGGGGTTGGGAGCAGAGGAGAACTGAAGGCCTAGTTCAAGGCTGGTCCCAGTCTGAGTTAATGATTTTAGGAAAGTGGGAAGGAGGGCTTTTAATGGTATTCAGAGACGTTAGGAGCCTTTAATGTCTTCCTTTTCTCTCTGGTCTCAAGGGGCTGAGATGGAATTCCAAAGCCCTTGTTTTCTTCTGATCTCATCACGGCCACTGCCTTCCATCTGCTGCAGTGAGGGGAAGGGGGCCCTGTGTCCCTTCTTTGCTCTTGTCCCAGTGCTCCTTGGTGTGGGCTGTGCCCATGTGTTGCTGAGGCTGACGGGGCCAGTGTGCCCGGCCTGCTGCACTGCACACTGTCCGGGAAGGGTGGCGGTTGTGTGGCGAGACTAATTTCTAATGGAAGATCAGGGACCTGGGAATGCGCACGGGCGCTGGCCTTTAGGGAAGCTGCTCCGGGAGGCGAAGTACTTTATGCTGCTTATGCTTTTGTGTCCCCAGATGTTCTTGGGCTTCTCTCTGGGCATTTCCTTCGAGAACCCTCATGACTTTATAGACCTCTCTTCCACCAGGACCATTATTCTGTATCTTAAAACTCACCTTAGGCATCCAGGTTAGCGCTGAATTTCTTTTACCCGTTTCTAAACATGGAGTTAACTCTGAGCAGATGAAAATATGGCATTGTCAAGGAGAGATGGAGCAGGACGTTCTTGGTGCACTCCTGCTGCTGTCTCTGGAGGAGGGAACAGTCTCCTGCCTGGCTCCCTTGGCCTTCCTGTGCTGGACCTCCATGGACTCTTCTGGGTGGCAGGGCTAGGAGACTTGCTGCTGCTCCTGCCGGCTCATAAGCATCGGCCTGTGTTCGATTTGGGCGGCAGAGAGCAGCCTCTGGGGGCTCCCCGAATTGCTGGTGGAGTCTTGAGTAGCAGGCAGAGCCCTGCTGGGGAGACAGAAACAGGGCCAGGAGCCATCCCGGGGAGCAGTCCGTTACTCACAGAGCTTCAGTCTTTGGCTGCCAGATCTGGAGCCACATCTTTAGATTTTCACCTTGGCCTAAGCCTACCAGATCCCCTGAGAGCCTACCATGGGCTACCCTTCTCCATCGGCTCTTGGGGCCTTAGCCGCAGTGGGGCTTGCTCTGCTCTATGAACAAATCCTGCCTATATCTTTGAGGGGCTAGGCTTCCCTCCAGCCTGGGGCGCGGCCTGATTGGCGTGTGTGATTCTGGACCCCTGGGCCCTCCGTGAGGATTCCGCGTGCGTTGTTCTGTATCTAACGGGTGGGATATCAAATCTGGTGAGATGCTGTCTCCCCAACTTGGCAGGCGATCTGCGGAGCCTGCAGCTCCCCCAAAGCAGGCTTCACTGAAGGCCATGGAAGAGGCTGTGGCCCAGGAACTGGAGCGAGACCGGAGGCGGCTCCTGGAATCGAAGCAGGAGAAGATGCAGCAGCTGCGGGAGAAGCTGTGGCAAGAGGAGGAGGAGGAGATGCTCCAGCTGCAGCAGCAGAAAGAGAAGTCTCTCAGGTCCTGCCCCTCCCCTTAGGCGAGCTGCCGGGGCCCCGCAGTGAGGTGGGGGGCGAGTGATCCCCTCCCCCTGCCCTGGAGACCCGGTGGCCCCACTGAGACTCCCCCTCCTCCATGGCCCTATGTGGAGGAAGGGGCTCCCTAGTTCGTCTTTTTGGGATGGAGTTGGGAGGCGTGATAATAGTGGGAGTAGCCAGTACTTTTTGAGAGATGACACTGGTCCCCATGCTTTGTATCGTTAACTGGTGTAGTTCTGAGAGTGGCTCTGAGGAGGTGTTACTCTCCCCCCATCTTACAGGACTGTGATACGGATAAAGAGACTGAGGCACAGAAAGGCTAAGTGACTTGCCCAAGATGTCGAAGTTAATAAGCAACAGGGCCCAGGCAGTCGGTGCCTGGAGCCTGTTTTCCTAACCACAATGTTGTCCTCTCTTGGGAGTCAGGGCCCTGTTGGGACCCAGTGAGGTTGGTAGGGACCACATGATACAGTGTGAGGTGCTGTTTCCCAGGACCCAGAAGTTTCTAACTGGGTTCCTGCTCTCTGTGTAGCTGGCTGGGAGGCCCTTGACAAGTAAAACACTGTAAGGCTGGGCTGGATCTGTGTGAATGAGATTGTGTGTACACATGTGAACAAGCCGGAGGTTATTTTTATAAGGAAGGCATCTGGGGCTGGCATGGCGGCTCCAGAGTCACCAGGTCCTTTATTCTCTTTGCTGCCTTTGGTGCTGGCTGCTCACAGGGTCTCTTCAGAGTGCAGCATGGCTGCTGGCTCCCCAGCCATCATGTCTGGGCTGCAGGCAGGAAGAACAGGAATAGAGTACAAAAGGGGTAGCTTCCAGCTCATTCTGTCCCTGTTAAGGTGCTGTCTTGGAAACTTCACCCAATAACTTACGTTTATTCTTTAAAGAAGTTTTCTTGGAAAGTTTACTTAATAATTTCCATTTATATCTCCTGAGTTACCCCTGGCTGCAAAGGAAACGGGGAAATGTCGTCCTTGAGCTGGGCCTCTCTACCTGGCGGCATAAAATCGGTGCCCCTTTAGGAGGAGAGTGTGGGAGAGTGGCGACTGAGAACGTAGTCAGCCTTCTGTCACAGGCCCAGGGAGGGACAGGTGCTACAAAAAGGTGTTAATATGTTTTCCACTTATTTAGCAATGTAACTGAAGGCTCAAATCTTTTTCTCTTGGATAGAACATGCAAAAGTGGTAGACTTACTTTTACATCATACATAGCAAAGAGTGTATAAAATGTTTATTTAGAGAGAGTAATAGAAAACCCATTTCCAGCTACCTAGAGGACTGGGGACAGTCGCTGTCATTAGCCCAACACAGAATCTGGTGACCCAGGGCCCACCCTTCTGTCACCCCTCTGGGATCCCCTGCCAGGCAGCAGCATCCTCTTCCAGTCAAATGAAAATTGGGGCCGGTGTCCCCCAAACGTGGTATGACTTGGCTGATCTTAACAGGCAGAGCCTAAGAGGAAATCCTGGTAGTGTCTCCCTGCCAGCCTGCCAGTCTCCTTCCTTCTTCCTGGCTACCCCAGGCCTGGCTGACTGTGCTTTCTATCCCTTGCTAAACCCCCAGCTCCAGAAGGCCTCTAGGAACCCTCTTAGGTTGTGCTGAAGACTAGCCTGCCAAAAGTAGCTGACTCAGGACCTGAAACATGGTAGTTGCTCAATAAATTGTAGCTCTAGATTTTATTTCCAGTTGAAATCAATGGTCTCTGTGGCCTTCATGAAGTGATTTTTCTGTCGGTAGTGCCCTGTCAGACTTGCTGTGAAATAGTTCATTGTGAGAACCCTGTTGCTGCTTACACATGAGACTATCTGAGGGCTGGGGCTGTCTCTGCTGGGCAACTTCCACCTGGTAGAAATTTCTGGAAGCCACAGATGACTGTAGCAGATACTTCTTGACTGAGAAGGCAGGCAGGAAGACAGGCTTGACCCTTAGTTTCTTTAGTTGTAAAACAAAGAGATTGAATTTAATTGTGAGATGAAGAGAGACTGTTGTAAAATGAAGGACTTGACCTCTCAGGGCCCTCCCAACTCTGACATCCTATGGTGCTCTGTGGAAAATGGAGCCATAGGACAAGGAGAAGGGGTTTCTGGGGAATCCAGGAGGGAGGATTTTCATTTAACTCAAATTTTTTGTCACGATGGAAGAGAGCAGTGGTGCAAGTCACTTGAAATAGAAAATGACCCTAAAGGGGCGCCTGGGGGGCTCTGTCGTTAAACATCTGCTTTCAGCTCGGGTCATGATTCCCCAGGGCCCTGGGATGGAGTTGCACTGGGCTCCCTGCTCATCGGGAAGCCTGCTTCTCCCTCTCCCACTCCCCTTGCTTGTGTTCCCTCTCTTGCTGTGTCTCTGTCAAATAAATAAATAAAATCTTTAAAAAAAGTTAAAAAAGAAAGAAAGGAAAATGACCCGAAATCTTCTTTGGCTTTGGAATTCACCAGGAAGCTTTTCAAAGACATTGTCTTCTGAATCATGTTTTTTTCTTTTCTCTCTTTTCTTTTTTCAAAGATTTTATTTATTTATTTGTCAGAGAGAAAGAGCCAGTGAGCAGAAGCAGGCTACCTGCTGAGCTGGGAGCCCAATGCAGGACTCCATCCCAGGACCCTCGGGATCATGACCTGAGCCAAAGGCAGTGGCTTAACCAGCTGAGCCACCCAGGCGTTCTGAATCACGTTTTTGTTAGGCTTGAGTTCCCTGAGTGCACAGCACACAGCCCCTGGTCTTGTGGGGGCTGTGTGGGCGGGGGTATCTGCCTGGGATGAAATGCTTACTGTGGTTTGACCATAAATAAGACATCCCTCACGGATCATTGGTGCTTGCTTGTAGGTTGGGGCTGGGTGATGCTGTTCCAATCCCACAGACGTTTATGGAGCACCTACTTCATGTCAGCAACTGTGTTCGGCACCTCAGATATAACAGACTCTAAGACACGATTCTTTCTCTGGAGAAGCTCCCAGACTTGTAAGGAAAAGGCACACACAAAAGATGAAATTATGATATGCGGTACAGAGCAGCATGGGACAAGCGAGGGCCTCACAGAAAGGGCGAGGGGAACAGAAAGGCTTATTGGTGAACCCAGACGGACTTAGAGAGACTTCTCTGAGAGGAGGAAGCCGGGTGTGAGCGGTGAATGTGACTCGGGGGAGGCAGCAGCACGAGCAGGGGCCCCGAGGCCAGGGGGAGTGTGGTGGCATGGAGAGGTGGTGGCTCCCCTGATGTGGCTGGAACTGTTGATCAGGCTGTGAGTGAGAGGACGCGGCGCCGGAGCCGGGCTGGGACCAGACTCCATCTGTCCTTGAGTGAATGCCGTGCCGAGGTGTACCTGTTCGCAGAGGGGAGCCCCTGGCAGAAATGCTGTTCTGGGTTCAAGCAGCCTGTCGTCCTCTTGCTGCAGCAAAGAGCAGGAAGTGTTCCTGGCCCCTCCTTACCCCGGAAGGTCTTTCTTTCTTACCCTGCAGGACCCGGATTTAGGAAACTTCGCGGGCAAGCTACAGGCATTTGGAGACCTAGAGTTGGGATGATGACAGACTTGCCCTTCTTTTCCATCTCAGTTCCCTGAAGGAGCAGCTGCGGAAAGCCACTGAGGAGGAAGAGACTCAGATGAGAGAGGAGGAGAGCCGGAGGCTGTCCCAGCTCCGGGCCCAGGTGCGGTCCAGCACCGCAGCAGACGAGGGCCGCATCAGGTGAGCGCACCGCGAGCCGGCCGCCCTGGCGGAGCCGCCCCGAATGCACGGGCACGTTCCATTCCGTCTGTCCGCTCAGGGCCGAGCGGGAGGCTTCCCTGCAGAGGCTGAGAGAAGAGCTGGAGTCTCTCCAGAAGGCCGAGAGGGCCAGCTTGGAACGGCGGAGCAGACAGATGCTGGAGCAGCTCAGGGAAGAGATGGAGGCCTCAGAGAAGAGAGAGCAGGCTGCTCTGAATGCCAAGAAGGAGGCGGCTTTGCAGCAGCTCAGGGAGCGGCTGGAGCAGGAGAGGAAAGACGTGAGCCTGCAGCGCGGAGCCTCCCGCCTGACATGCCCCTGGGCTGCCTGGGGAGGGGCTGGGTGCCGGGCTGGGCATGTGGGGTCGGGGACCAGGCACAGAGGAGGTGTCTGCACCACTGGCACGGGAGATAGGCGACGGTTGGTAGGCCGACTTTCTGGGCCCACCAATCGTCGCGGGCCCAACTGTCTCAGGGCAAGGTGCTAGGCCAGGTCTGCATGGCACAGCGAGGGAGTGGCAGGTGTCCGGGGGCGCTTTTTAGAGCCAGCGGTAGCTGGTGCTGTATGTGACAGTGAAGAGGTTGGAGGGGAAATGGCCTGTGGATTTGGGAAGATTTCATGACTGAAAGAACTTAGACCAGGCCAGGTTCTGAGTACAAGGTGCCCTGTCCCCATCCCTGTCCCAGAGGGGCATCTGCGATGACCTTTCACCTCTCCTGCTGTAGAGAGATTGCACACTTAGAGGAGGGGGTTTCTCCTTAGTCTTTACTCCCTGTGCCTTCAGTCCTGTCTCCTGACGGTCTGTCTCCAGATACGAGCAGGAAGTAAGGAACAGTCCCGCCACTTGGAACTTTTTTGCTAGATAAGGAGAGACTGCAGGAGGTGGGGGAGGGCATCCCTGTCGCACAGGTGCTCCGGCAGATTGTGCTGGACCTCCAGCCCTCACGGCCTCAGGCCCTCGGAGGCCTAAGTATGACCTGTGTATCTGGGGCCTAGCCCAGGGGCAAGGGTTTGGGAGTGGTGACTTGAGGCTTACTGAAATGGCCCTCCACTCTGGCCTTCATTTCCTGTTCATTTGCTAGTTGTAACCTTTAGGGACGGAGTTATTCTGGGGGAACAAAGATGTGTCTGTGTTTCCCCTTGGCCCTTTAGCTGGAAGGGAGTCAGGCATGGTCTTCCTCCCTCCGGGGTCAGTGCCCGGCCAGGCTTCCCTGCCCTGTAGCCCTCACGGGCCCCCTGTTGCTCCCCAGGCAGCGGCAGCATTGGAGAGGGAGCACAGGGCCGAGCTGGAGCGGCTCTCTTCCTCGCTGGAGGCCAAGCACAGGGAGGTGAGATGCAGCCGGCCCTGGGCTGCCTGGCAGAGCCTGCGTCCTGTTCCCTCAGGGACAGCCTCAAGGCCCCTTCGCTGCTGGCGGGCAGAACTCAACCCCAGGCCTGCCACTGGGGCGGGAGCCTCCTTGCCCCCGAACCCCCCTGGGGTTGGGTGCTAGGCCCCCAGCAGGGGAGTCCCTGAGGCTGCTCCATGGCACTGAGTGTCCCGTTCCCTGTGCTGGGGCCTCCTCAGGTTGTCTCCAGCCTGCAGAGGAAGATGGAGGAAGCCCAGCAGAAAGAGGTGGTCCAGGTGCAGGAGAGCCTCGGTTGGGCGGAGCAGAGGGCTCAGCAGAGGGCTCACCACGTGCTCGAATACGAGCAAGAGGTAAGTGCTGCTGGGCTCCCTCGACCTCACATGTGCTTGTCCTGGGTGCTCCGTCCTGGCCCTGCAGACCCGGCTCTGCTCTGGAAGGTGTGGCGGGGACTGGGTCTTCTGGTTGCGTTTCTGTGCCTCCGCTCCCTCGAGCTGGGTGCTTCTCCAGCCCCCTGCCCTCGGGCGTGAGTGCGGAGGGGTGCATGTGCTGGGCCTCCCCTCACGCCTGCATGTCGCATCCCCACTGCCTACCCTGCAGCTCAGCGGCCTCCTGCGAGAGAAGCGCCAGGAGGTGGAGAGGGAACACGAGAGGAAGATGGACAGGATGAAGGAGGAGCACCAGCAGGTGGTGGCTGAAGCCCGAGAGCAGTACGAGGCTGAGGTGACTTGCCCCTGCCCCCGTGCACAGACCCGGCACACGCGTGCACACGCACAGACACGGCACATGCGCACACGCTCTGCGGTCCCCGGCAGCTGGCTGGCCTACACTGGTGCAGTCCTGATGGCCAGGTTACTCCAGCAGCCGCAGCAGACCGGCGCTCTTCCTTCCCCGAGCGGCTGGGCCCACAGGCACTGAGTTCCTACCCCGTTGTAGCACTGTTCTCAGCCCCTGACGGGTGCGGACTCATTTAGTCCTCCCAGCACGCCGAGGAGGGGCGGACTATCGCGACCTCCAGTCTGAAAGTGGAACGGAGACTTGGAGCGTAAGCTCCTTTCCCAACGGCTCCAGGCTAGTATGTCGCGGAGCTGAGATTCAAGTCTGGATTGTCTGACCCCAAAGCCTTCGGCTTTAACCAGCCCGACTCCGCGCCGTCAGGGTTAACCAGACTTTCCAGCACACACAGACTGGCAAGAGCCTGACCCTCCTTGGGTCTGATCTGCCCCTCTTCAGCCTCCCCCATACGTGGGCTGGCTCACGGGGTGAACAGGGGCGGCGGTGGGGCCTCACTTTGGCTCACAGCTGGGCCTCGGCCCAGGGTTCCTAGGCTCCTGTTCTAGTACCTGAAACCCATATCCCAGCCTGTCCGGATGGTCCTTTCCCACACAGAAGTAGCTGGTCTGTGATAAAATGTCGCAGCTCCCTTTCCAAACTGATGCAGACCTTGCTCAAGAGTAGTGAGAATTTATTAATGGGCTCTCTTCCTTCGAGGAGCTGCACACAGCGGACAGCGGGGCAGGCAGATTTCCACTGTGGGGGTGGGAGGTCTCAGACCAGCGCCTGCTTCAGTGGCAGAGAGGGGTGCAGGCTTTCTTGGGGGGAGGCCCGGGTGCTCCTCTGTGCTCTCCTCCTCTCGAAGAGCTGGCCCTGGAGAGCCACTGAGGTCCCCGACCTCCCTGACCTGAGTCTGCCAGCATGAGGGGCTGTGGCTTTCGGCGGGTGAGGGCCACTGCCGTTGCCCGCCAGCAGCCTCCTGTCCCGGGCAGGAGAGGAAGCAGCGGGCTGAACTGCTGGGCCACCTGACCGGGGAGCTGGAGCGCCTGCGCAGGTCCCACGAGCGAGAACTGGAGTCCGTGAGGCAGATGCAGGACAGGCAGCTTGAGGACTTGCGGCGTCGGCACCGGCAGCAGGTGGGGGCTCTGGGTGGTCACCAGGGACCAGGGTGGGTGAGCCCGCCTCGGACACCTCCATGCAGGAGAGGTGGGGGTGGGGGCAGACGGCCAGCAGAGCCTGGACAACTTCAGGCGTGGGGGTCTCTCACAGGCCATTTCCAGCCAGGGCACATGTGCTCCTTTGTTTTCTGGGCCAGCAAACATCCCTGGGAGTAGAGGAGGTCAGGACCCTGGGGTGGGTGCTTTGTCTCTCCTCGCCCCCACTGGGAAGACACAAGGTGGTGCTTTCACGGGGGCCTCAAGGGCAAGTGGGATGAGGCTGAGTCTAGCTTGGAGGGTATGCTGTGGAAAGGGGGTTCTGGAGCTCCCTCCTGTCCCCTCAGCTAATGCCTTGCACTCTCTCTACACCTACATCTTTCGCTCCACCTATTTCTGTGCAGGAAAGGAAACTCCAGGATTTAGAGGTGGAACTTGAAACCAGAACCAAAGAGGTCAAGGCCAAATTGGCTCACCTGGGCCTCCAGGTGAGAGCGCGGGAGCCCCGGACCTTGGAGTTGTAGCTCCCCTAGGAGAGCTCGGAGCCTCCTGCCCCTTAGAGCTGGGGTGCCTGGACCCCCACTTCTTTCCTTCCCCCGCAGGAGGAGACGGCCCGAAAGGAGCAGCAGCAGCTCCTCGACGCACAGAGGCAGGCTGCGCTGGCGAGCGAGGTTCGGCTGGCTCCCTTGTCCTCCCTCACCTCCGCCCTGTGCCCTTTACCTTCCCTCCCTCTCTCCCCGCAACACCCCACCTTTGGCTCACCTACTCTGTCCCCAGCTTTAAGGTTCCGAACGCTGGGGGTAGGATGACAGCTCGGCCCCTGGAAGGAGCCCAGCCGGGGGCCCCGTGGGCGGGGCCATGGAGGGTGGCAGTCTGCACGCCTCCTGCCCTCGGCACAGCGACTTCACAGGCCTGAGGTCCACACCTGCTCCTGTGCTGCCGCCGCCTGCCTTCGTCCCAGGTGTCTCCGGGTACTTCTGTCTTCTCAGGAGGTCACAGCCAGCTACCAGCACTTGGAGGAGGCAAAGAAGGAGCACACGAACCTGTTGGAGTCCAGCCGACAGCTCCGAAGACTCCTGGATGAGTTACGGGCCCGCAGGGCGGAGCTGGAGTCCCAGGTGGACGCGCTGCAGGCCCAGAGTCGGAGGCTGCAGAAGCACATCAGGTGGCCTGGGGCCCTGCACTTGGCCTCCCCGCTGCCTGCCAGTGACACCCCTGGGCCCCACTGCTCCGGTGGGGGTGGAGCTGGGTGGAGGGGCTCTGCTGCGTTTGGCAGGGCGTAGGCGTGAGAAGTGTGAGCGGCTCCGGTCGTGCCCCGTCCTGCTGTCTTCCTGAGATCAAGGCTGGAAGCCCACCCCAGCAGTCACCGTGACCTGCTGCCCCCCCGCCCCCCCATCACAGCGACCTGGAGGCTGAAGCTCAGAGGAAGCAGGACACGTTGAAAGAGCTGGAAGCTAAGGAGAGCAGCGCTGCCCCACGTTTTGAGCCAGACCTCCACATTGAGGACCTGAGGAAGTCCCTTGGGACCGTGAGTTTCTCTGTGCCCTGGAAGGGACAGGGTGGTGGGACAGGGGCGGGGCTCCCGGAGGGGTCCTGGCTTTGCTTTACCACCTTAGCCTCCTGTCCTTAATAGTCCCCCTTCCTCATTGCCATCAGTCAAATGATGCCTATAAGCGAATGGTGCCCAGCAGCCCCCAGAGCCATTTCTGTGTTGAGGTCCCTGGGAGAGGCTTTGGGGGGTCCCTTGACCTGGCGGTGTACCGGATGTTGACTGGGCCTTTTTTACTGTGTGTCCTTAGAACCAGACCAAAGAGGTACCCTCTTTTCTCTCCCAGAGCAAGGAGGAGACCGACTTGTCCTTGGACAGGTGAGTTCTGATAGCCTTAGTTTGGGTCCAGGAGTCCATGAGAGGGTGACTGCCTGCACCACAGACCTGGGGTGAATGGAAATGGGTTGACCGTGACCACCACTAGGGCTTGGTTCAGGGCCAAGGACCTGGGGGACCAAGGGAATTTCTTTAGCAAGCCAAGAATCTGCCCCTGGTGACCGCTGGCACAGCATGCTGGGATATGCTGCCCTCTGGTTGAGGACCACCCTGCTGGGAGTGTCTGGGCATCTCTCTGGAGGCCCCAGGCCCAGTCCCTTTAGAGGCAGGATGGAGGGACCCTGCAGCAGGCTGCACACTATAGTGTGAAGGCCTCGCAGTCTGTGCTCAGGGTGGGCCCCTTGGGGAAGCACTCAGGTGGCCCGGAGCTGTTCTCAGCGTGCATGTGCTTTCCCTTTCCAACCCCTCTGCCCTGGCCCGGCCTCCCCTCAGCGTCCGGCACTACCTCTCTGCCGAGGGAATGGCTCTCCGCAGTGCCAAGGAGTTCCTGGTACGGCAGACGCGCTCCATGCGGCGGCGGCAGTCGGCTCTGAAGGCCGCGCAGCAGCACTGGCGCCGGGAGCTGGCCCGTGCTCCAGAGGCCACCAAGGACCCCCTGGGCACCAAGGCCCTGGAGGACGCACGCCAGGACCTGGAGGAGGTTGGGAGCCTTGAGGGGAGCCCGCTGGTCCTGCGGGGCGCTGGGTTGGGGGACAGGACCAGTCGCCTCTGGTGACTGTGGGTTCCCCACAGTGTGGTCACATTAGCCCTGGGGCCATGGGACAGGGGCTGCCCATTATCCATGTCCGTGAGGATGAGAGCTCCTGACATTGACGTGGCAGTGCACCGCGCACGATGCTTTCTCGGTCCTCATGGTAACCAGAGGTGATTGTCCTCTTCACTTCCTAGGTGAAAAGAACAAGTAAGGTTTTTAAAATTGCACATCCATGTTTTGCTGGCCCATTCCGTCCCACTAAAGATGTGGTTCATCAGGGAGTCTTCTGAGCACATGGGGTGGAACCGCCTGTCTGATGGCCTTTTCAGTGGGAATTGGGCCAGGACTTTAGGGAGCCAGCCGAGGGTCTAGGCAGTGCTCGGGGCTGCTATGGGGCAGGCTTCCCAGGGCCGTCTGCAGGCCGCCCTTGGGCCCTCGTGGCTCTGCTGAGTGCTGAGAGGCTGGGCAGCGGGAGCAGGGGCACTAGTGACCCTGGGGTGACAGTAACCCTTTGAGACTGGGTTAGGTGCGGGCACAGGGCTCAGCCTGGAACAGTCTACCTCACTGAATCCTTATGAGCCTGGAACAGTAGCGTTCTCCTCTCAAGAGGACAGTCCACACTGAGAGCTGCCTTGTCCAGCATCACCCAGACAACAGCACACACAGCCGGGACTCCAGCACCTTTCCTGAGCCCCCGGGTCTGTCGTCCTCTCCCTCTCTGGCGCCAGGAGACCAGGCACCTGGATGAGATGAAGTCAGCCATGCGGAAGGGCCACGACCTGCTGAAGAAGAAGGAGGAGAAGCTGAATCAGCTGGAGTCCTCTCTCCGGGAGGAGGTGCGGTGCGGCCTCCCTCCTCTGTTCCTGGGCTGTGGGTGGTTCTTCGGTCCCATGGGGGGAGGATCTGGGGCTTGTGGTCTGGTGAGATGGCAGTGGCTTTGAGGTTGCTGAGGCCGGCTGTGCGCAGAGGTCCTAAGCAGACCCGGAGCCTCGTGCTGCAGCTTCTCGAGAGGCCCTGGCCCCTGCTGTGGTTCCTGAGGAGAGCTGGGCCCTGGGTTCAGCAGTGGGTCTGGAATGGACACACCTAGGCTTTCCTTCCTTCTCTGTGGCCTCATCCCTGTTGCTCTGGATGCTGGAGGCATGGGGGTGGCAGGAGGGAAGCCTGAGTTTGCTGCAGGACAGGGGCTCTGGTCCTGTGTCCTCTTAGCCCCCACCTGCCTCCCCTCCCCCATGCTGCAAGGCAGGCTGTGTGTGTCCTTCTCCCAGAACTTCGGGTCCCAGAGAGGCCCCAGCCATCATATGGACACGGGACAGAAGACACAGGGCAAGCACCAGTACTCATTGCTGCTTGTACCCCTCAGGCTTTAGATGAGGACACTCGGCGCCAGACCCCCAAGAAGGGGGTGACGTTTGACCTCAGCGACACGGACGACGTGAGCAGTGCAAGCTCCGAATCCTGCCCCCTGCCTCCTCATGAGTGGCAATGTCGGCAGGGGGAGGACCATGGTATCCATGGAGAGGGAGAGGCTTACGGGGGGCCAAGGGGCAGCCTCCCTCCTTCAGCCGTGCATGGGTGGGTCTGTGGGAGCCCGTGTCTGGAGCAGACCCTCAGGAGCACTCGGGAGGAGGGACCCCGTGGGGGTTTGCCAGCACATAGGGCAGAAAGGGTCCGGAGCTACCTGAATGCACAGGGACCTTCCCGTGCCTTCTGAGAGGTGTTCTCCCTCTGCCGCTCTGGTCTGCAGCCGGGCAGAGGGCCATCTCCTCCTCCTTCCTTGCCCGCTCCCTGGAGAGGCTTTCTCCCCTCTGCCAGCTTCCCGTCTGCACCATCTGGAACACAGAAGCTCTGCTGCCCACCTTGTCCCCATGGGCCGAGGGGCTGTTGTCCAGACCAGGAGGGCAGCCGGGTGGGTGCTGCCGTGCCTGGGGCCGTCCTGGGCCCTGAAGCTGAGTCCTTCCCTCCCTTTTAGTCAACCTGACTGCAAGTGCCACGTTGCCCTACAAGTTCCACTACCTGAGCAGCAGCCTTCAGCGGATCAGCAGCCAGCTGAACGGCGTCCTCAGCATGCTGGGTGGTCTCAACCTCCAGCCGCCGCCGCCGTTCTTCACTTCCACGCCAGTGCCTGCCCCGCCCCGGAACCCCAGGAGTACCCCCGTACCCGCCTGCCCCTCCCTGGCCCGGGTCTCGGCCTGGCCGCCAGTGGAGCCCACAACCACCCAGTGGGCCTGGGACCCCGGGCTGGGCCCCACGCTCTCCTCCTCCGTGGCTCAATCAGTGGACGACTTCCTGCTGGAGAAGTGGCGCAAGTATTTCCCAAGTAAGCCTCCGTCCCTTCTTCCTTTGCTGGCTCCTTGCCACCGCCTGCTTTGGCGTGGCCCTTCCCATTATGGGAGGAAGGCTTGCGTGCAACCCTGTAGCCACAGGCTCTGTGGGCCATGACGGTTGACCTAGAGCCTTTCTGATGGGAGCTGGAGCTCAGCAGAACCTAAAAGGTCATCCCTGTCCTCATTGTAAAAACTGCCATCTTGTGCCTTGTGTGAGGGGCCAGGCCTGAGTCCTTCTAATAACCCTCTGAGAGAGGAATATTTATCCCCACCTTACAGATGAGAAAATTGAGACTCAGGTTAAGGGCTGTGCTCCAGGGTACCGAGGAGTAAATAACACACTAGAGTTTGGTTCTCTGGCTCTGTGACTTCAGGCTTCTGCCCAGAACCCCCTGGCCATACAGCTTTGCCCAAAAGTTACATATCTGTCCCCTGCCTCAACCCAAATAGAAAAGTAGATTTGATTTTACAAGTAAATAGGACAATTCCTGTCTCTCACCTCCAACCACTGAAGCCTGTGCTGTTGTGTTGTCCGTGGGAGGCAGGAGGCATGCTGGTGAGCTGGGAGGAGGCCTGCTGGGGCTGGCTTCTGCATCCCATTTCTGGATAATTTCCTCCCACTTTTTCAGCTGGAGTACCATTCCTCAGCAGTAGCCCCGCGCCCCTGGAGAACAGGCTGGGTTACGTGTCTGCCAGGTAAGCTTCCTGTGGGCTCAGGGTGGAATCACACAGGCCTGCTGCTTGCGGTGCCTCCCAGCAGAGAAGAAGTTCGGTTGCGTTGCCCAGAGAGCCCGGACAGGTCCCCACAAAGCTGCCTGGGTCTCAGGTGCCTCTACCACCGTCAGAGAAAAGTCTACCCTGCTGAGGTCCCAGGGGCGGCTGGTCTCCCCTGGCCCAGCTCTATGAGGAAGCTGCCTGGTAGCACCTGCAGGGAGAAATCAGCCTTGGCAGGACCCTGCTCCTTGCCTGGCCCCTCCTGCCCTTGAGTGTGGCTTTTGTCTTTGCCATGGAGCTCGCTGTCTGCTTCATAGGCTCCCTTCTTCCCGCTGTCCTGCTAGCTACATCTGGAGTGAGAGGGGCACGCTGTGGGAGAGGCAGATGGGCAGTTATCTAAACCTGTTAATTTCCCATTCATCTTCTTCCTTGCCAAGTGTAGCCTCGCCCCACCACAGATGCCCAATCTTAAGCACCCCTGCTTACCCCCTGGCCCACTCGGAAGTGGATGCTGGGCAGGTACTGGAGTCACCAGGGGAAAGCTTTTACTGATCAGATGTGCTGGGACCAGGCAGAAGTGGGAGCCCTGACATCAGGAGGGGAGGGTGCCGTTCACCACCTTGTCTTGGGGGTACTGACGCTCGTCATTCCAGAAGGGTGTTCTTGCCAATAAAGGAAACTTGGAGTTGCTAAAGCCACCCTGCGGAGGCCATGGCTGGTGTATGGGGTGTGCAGAGAGGAGGAGGGAGAGGCTTGGGGCTGGTCTGCTGTGCCACACATGCGTCCGCTCCTCTCTTCCCCTCACGCTGGCCTCTGCCTTCCCAGCGAGCAGCTGCGTCTCCTGCAGCGGGCCCATTCCCGTGGCTCCGGCCTCGAGGTGGGCGGCACAGACTTCCAGAGCATGATGGAGGCTAACCGAAAGTGGCTAGAACATTACAGGAATGACCCCAAGTTGTATCCTTTGTCTGATCCCTGAGCCTTGGTCCCTCCCTGCTGTCGTTGCTGGGATGGCAGAGGTGTGGTTGTGCCCTGGGCGGTGGGAGTGTCCAAGGGGGGTGCCCGTCTGGGCCTTGGCCATTCCCTGGACCCGCTTAACTGACCCGACTACAGAGTCCTCCTTCACCTTGTGGCCAGACATCTCTTCTCTTCGGTGCCCAAGCCCGCAGCTACCTCAGGCCTTCTGCATCTGGGCCTGGATGAGGACAACAGACTGAGGGTGTATCATTACTAAGGCCCCGAGCCCCTCCCGCACCCCGACCAAGTGCCTGTGGAGCCGCCCGTGCTCTGGACCCAACACAGCATTCTCCTGCCCTGTTTGCTGCCTGCCCCGCTCGGAGGAACCCGGGGCTGCGCTGGAAACCATGAGCTGCCCCCCACCCCCTGAGACCACGTACCTCAGGCTAAAGAGTGTGGCCTCCTGTGAGATCCTGTCTGGACAAGGTGACACTGACGGGGTGGGGGTGGGGGAGGGGGTGTCTGAGCCCGGGCACCTGCAGGAGGAAAAGAACAAGGTATTAGGAGTTGCCTTCCGAGGCCAAGGGCCTACGGGCTCTCTGTGCACGGGATTCTGTCAGTTGTGGACGTGTGTCCCTTAATTCACCAGGACGAAGCCTCCAGCATGTCTGGACCCTGGGCCCCATCTCTAATACCTCAGCCTCAGAGAGATCAGACCCTTTTCTTTCTCTTTTTTTGTAAGTCTCCTTTCTTGAGCACTCTATCTCAGGATTGGGCCCAGAGCCCTACCAGAGGTTGCTGGGAAATTGGCCCCCAGACGCTCTGCTGCCCCTCCTCCCTCCGCTGGCTCCTTCCCTTCCCTTGGGCTCCTCCCCAGAGTCCTCCCCCCACCCCCACCCCCAGCTCAAGTCTCAGGTCACAAGCGCACGACTTGCAAGAAGCCAACAAGCCATAGGAGAAGTCTGTGTCTCTGGGTCCATATCTTGGTTTTCTCTTTCTGGACCACCATGGGGAGAGTTGTGGGTTCTTGTTTCTGTCCCCTGGCAGCCCTCCTCTGGGCTGGGCCACACAGGGTCAAGCTCCCTGTAGTCCTGCTTCCCGTCAGAGGGCTCTCCTAGGGGTTGCAGTGGATGTTCTCAGACATCTGTCCCATCATTTAAATAAAATGCCCCCGTGTTTGTCTTGAAGGCTCTGGGGTTGCCCTTGCCTCTCCGCTGCACAGCCACCAAGTCTCTGCAAGCCTACCTCTCATTTCTTTGTCTAAGAAACTTTTGACCCCACCCCACGCCCACTTTTTAGGCATCATCTACCATAGAGAAAAAATTCCGTTTCATGATTTGGCTCCTCCTGGGTGCTTTGGGGCTAGCGCCTGTGTTAACAGCCAGCTCTGTGACAAGCCTGTGTTTTCTACATCAATTAAATCCCTGCACGTCCATTTGCCACAAGGCAGTCGTGTGAATGTGTCTCCTTCTCTTTGAAGGCCTTTGCCTCCCTCCTCTTAAGAATAAAGGGAGCGAAAACTAACATGCACAGGCCACCTCCTAGGTTCTCATCTGCTCCTGACAGCAAGCCTGTAATCTCAGTGGACGGATGGAAACCCGGAGGCTCGGAGACCCGGAAGGGGCTGAGGTCCTGAAGGAAGTAGCCCAGTGTCCACCCAGCACAGAGCCCCCAGCTCCCTCTGTGTACCCCAGAGCTCCCTGTCCCTGAAGTGCTGATTTGCTTCACCTCTCTCCCCCCACCCCTACTCTGCCACCTACCAGCTGGAGACTCATCCTGCATCCTGCTGTTTCCCAAAGGCCATTGGGCATTGTTTTCTGACGTACACAAATGACAGCTAAGCCCCCTGAAGGCCCAAGCTGGCAAAGTTAGGTGGGTTTTGTTTTCTGCTCCAGTGGTGTGAGCAGCCGGCATAGTTTGAGTTTGTAGCGACAAAATTGCTGGGAGAACCAACTGAGAAGGCCATGTTTCATGGATTTGCATGAGAAAACCAACTTAAAACATACAAATTAACCCAGCTTCCATCAGTGGCCTCGCTGCTCTGCTGCAGGGAGGGAGGAAAGATGTAACATTTGTCCAATATCTTCCGTGTGCGGGTTCTCTTCAAGTATTATCTCATTTAATCCTCTTAACCTGCAAAGTTGGTATTATCTTATGGATGGGGAACTTCAGGCTCAGAGAGGTTAAAGGAGTACAGCTCAGGTTCGCCCAGGATTTGAACCGAGATCTCTGCGTCTCTAAAAGCAGAGTTTTGAGCCTGCTCCCCAGGTCGGCGTCGGCACCTTCTGTCCTTCTGACTCACACAACGGTCCTGGCCAGCTTGATCTGAAGACCCATGTCCCAGGGAGGGAGTGGCTTCTAGCTGGGTGAGCAAACCCCCCAACCTCAGACCCGAGCCAAGCTTTACTGGGGGACTTTTTCCGAAGACCCCAAAACTGTCCCCTCTCTCCCCTCAGAGACTGTAAAATCTAGCTGGGGAGTCTAGAATCCTAGAGCTTTGTAGCTGAATGGAACCTTGCAGATGACTGTTCAGCCCACTCCCGTTTATAGAGGCAGAAACAGCCTAAAGAGATTAGGGTTACCCAAAGTTACAGCCAGGGTGTGGCAGAAGCAGGACCGAGACCTAGTCGGGCCCACCAGCCTGGGGCTTCAGGAAAGAGTGTTTGAAAAAAGATACTAATTTTGAACAGGCTACACGTTCACGTGGCTTAGTATTCAAGTGACATAAGAGTTACTCCATCCACTGGCCAGTCTTCTCCTTGAAGGTTCCTTCTGGAGATTTTATGCAAATACAAGAAAAGAAGGGGCAGTGTTTTGACCTTGTTCCCTTACTGGTGGGGTAAGGGTCATTCCTACTGTAGGATCAGACAACCTCCCAAAGCTGTCTTGTGAAATGTTCACTGTTTTCTTAAGGGAGCAGTGTTGGCCATGGCAGCCCCCCTGCCGTGCAGACTTCCACACAAAGTGGCAGCTTGGGGAGGGGAAATAACCCTGACCTGAGGATAGCCGGGTGTGCCTTTGGCTGGATAAGACATAGGGTGGCAGACTGAATTAAAGAAACAAGTCCCATGTATAGGCTGCCTACAAGCATTTCAGACCTAAAGACACATATAGACTGAAAGCAAAAGTATGGAAGAAGATACTCCATGCAAATGGAAATAAGAGAAAAGCTGGATCACATTCTTCTATCAAATAGTCCTTAAAACACAAAGTCCTTTAAAGCAAAAGTGCCCTCCTATGTAACAGACATAGCAGGGCACTGCATAAAGGGTCCCTCCCGCAAGATATAAAAATTGTAAACATCAATGTACCGAAAATTGGAGTACCCAAATACATAAAGCAAATATTCACAGACAAAAAGGGAGAAATTGACACCAATACAATAATAGGAAACTTTAACACTCCACTTACATCAACATCTAGATCACCAATGCAGAAAACCAGTATAGAGTGTGTCCCAGTGATACAGCAGACTGGAGGGACTTAACAGGTACAAGCAGAACATTCCATCTAAAAACAACCGAAGGTGCATTCACGTGCACATAGAACATTCTCCCTGGTAGATCACGTGTTAGTCCACAAAACAAGTCTCCATAAATTTAAGAAGACTGAAATCATATCATGCATCTTCTCTGACCGCGGAAGTATGAAACTAGAAATCAATCATAAGAAAACAATGGACAAAACCCCACAAACACATGGAGGCTAAATGTGCTAGTAAACAACCAACGTGTTGACAAAGAATCAAAGAGGAAATTAAAAAAGAAATACACAAAGGAAAATGGAAACAATGGTCCAAAATCTGTAGAATTCAGAGAAATTAGTTCTAAGAAGGAAATTTTTAGTAATACAGGCCCACATTAAGAAAAAAAATCTCAAATAATCTAACCTTACAGCTAAAGGATCTAGAAAAAGAAGAACAATCAAAGCCCAATATTAGAAGAAAGAAGGAAATAAAAATCAGAGCAGAAATAAATACAACTGTATAAGACAACAAAGAATAGAGAAATGAAACCAAGGATGGGTTCTTTGACAAGATAACCAAAATCAATGAATCTTTAGATGGACTCATCAAGAAAAAAAGTAAGGACACTGATAAAATAAAAAATGTAAGAGAAGTAATGACTGACCCCACAGAAACACAATGGATTCTAAGAAACAACTACAGGAAATTATATGTCTACAAACTGGACAACCTAGAAGAAATGGATAAATTCCTAGAAACATATAACTTCTCAAAACTGAATCAGGAACAAAGAGAAAAACAGAATGGGCCAATTACTAGTAACAAAATTGAATTGGTAATCAAAAAAACTCCCCCAAAATACAAGTTCGGGAACAGGTAGAACACAGGTGAATTCCATCAAACATTTAAAGAAGAGTTAATATCTATTCTTCTCAAACTATTCCAAAAAACAGAAGGGGAGGGAAAGCTTCCAAATATATTCTACAAGGCTAGCAATACCCTGATACCAAAACCAGACAAAGAGATTGAAACAAAGAAAGAAAAGAAAGGAAGGAAGAAGAAAAACTAGAGGCCAATATTCCTGATAAACACAGAGGCAAAAATCCTCAACAAAATGTTAGCAAACCACATCTTCAGTACTTTTAAAAAGATCATTCACCATCATCAAGTAAGATTTATTGTGGGGAATGCAAGGGATAGTTCCATATTTGCCAATCTGTCAACATGATACACTACATTAACAAAATGAAGGAGGAAAATCATATGATCACCTCAATAGATGCATGAACATTTGGCAAAATTCAACATCCTTCATGAACCAAAACTCTCAACAATGTGGGTTTAGAGGGAACATACCTCAACACAGTAAAGGCCGTATATGAAAACCCACTGCTAACATCATACTCAAAGGGGAAAAACTGAGAGCTTTGCCTTTAAGATCAGAAACAAGGATGTCCACTCTAGCCACTTTTATTCAATATAGTACTAGAAGTCCCAGCCACAGCAATCAGACAAGTAATAGAAGGCATCCAAATTGGTAAGGAAGAACTTAAACTTTCACTATTTGCACATGATATAATACTATATATATAGAAAACCCTAGGGGCACCTGGGTGGCTCAATGGGTTAAAGTCTCTGCCTTTGGTTCAGATCATGGTCTCAGGGTCCTGGGATCAAGCCCCGAATCGGGCTCTCTGCTCAGCAGGGAGCCTGCTTCCTCCTCTCTCTCTCTGCCTGCCTCTCTGCCTACGTGTGATCTCTGTCAAATAAATAAAATCTTAAAAAAAAAATAGAAAACCCTAAAACACTGTCAAAAAACTATTAGAAGTAGTAATACATGGTAATACACAGAAATGGATGAATTTTACAATAATAATGAAGTAGCAGAAAGAGATTAAGAAAAACAATTCCACTTACAATTGCACCAAAAAGAATAAAATACTTAGGAATAAACTTAATCAAGGAGGGGAAAG